TATCATGTTAAGGTGTGATTGAATAGATGAATCTGGGTAGGTTTGCATCAAAATCAATATCAGCTACAGCTATCCCTGTTGACAGCCGATCTGAAGCATAACAAACCAGATTTTGAAATTACCCCCACTACATCCATGCATGCTAAAATCAGTAAGAGTAAATGACATAGAATATTTCATAATTTAAGTTCAAGTGTAACATTATGATGCCTAAAACAAGGAATATGTGCTCATAAATATAGTAAAAGATATTTTGTTGATATAAGAGAACCTGTCCCCACCAGGTAATCTACCTATAACTTCCCCCCATGGATCGACTATTAGTGAGTCACCATAACTCACTCTCTCATCATTATGCTTTCCAGCTTGTGAAGCACCTATAACTTGATAAAACAATCATCATGACGGTCCTATAGATGAAGCCACAGGATAGCATATAAAATGAGAAATTAATGGACCATTTGAATAAATATGTGATGCAACACGTGAGGTGCTGGTATATAATAAGAAATTAAGAAGCGTAGAAAGAAGCAGTAGAGGATTAATTGTGAAAAAAGGTAACTAACGTGTGAAGAGAAGAAAAAGTGGAGTGGACAGGTGGCGAAAGGAGACTGGTGGATGGTTGAATTCTGTTAGGAGAAGGGAGTGAATAAAAGGAGCAGGAGAAGATGGAGAAAGGGTATCTGAAGAGAATATAGTGAAGGGGAGGTAGCTGGCCCTCGAAGTCCAGCATATTAGTCTTCCATTGTTATAGTTTGATGAATTTCTTGTTATACTTGTGTTGGGATATAATCAATCTGAATGAGTGTAATTCTTAACATCTCAATGTAGTTATATAGATTTGTGATTCTTGATGTTTACATTGAATTGTTTGAGTATATTTTGGTGATTAATATTTTGTGTGTGGTTGAGTAAACGAATCTGGGTAGGTTCGCATCAATATGGAAGCTCCATATCACTTCCATATGCCCAACATCACACAGTTGGGACAAAAGCTTGATTGAGATGAGATAAAAGAAAATAGATCCACACAACACTGTGCCTCATCTGCATGTCCTGGAAGAAGAATCTCCCAATGTGCCTTAACAGTTACTTTTGAGAAAGCTGAAGGTACCAATAGAACCTACATACAGCAATAAAACACATGCAAGTTTTATATGGTAAAGAAACAACCATACTAAAAAATTAAGAATCTGACCTGTGCTTCATACTGGAACCTGAGTTGCTGATAAAGTTATGGAAATCTCAAGTCATAGCAAACTGTCAGACCCAAACGCCCAAAAGGGACTGTCTACTGCCACAACATTCTTACCTGAAAGCAATACCTAATAAGATTGATGTTATTGGTTGCTCAAGAACATTTAATCATTCTCATTGGTCAATCACATGAATAAATTTTTTTCTTTCTTGAAAGAGAATCAGCAAAATACTAATAATCCCCAAGAATAAAAATAAGATTTATAAGATCAACCAAGGGCATGAAATATTTATTTATAAGCCTATAGCAAGACATTAGTTACATGAACACTAATGTCAAAAGATTTCCAAAGCACTTTTAAATAATAGGTGAAACAAATTGAATAATAGCATCAAGCCAACAATATTTGATCATGATTAAGTGGTATATTAGACACATAAAAAGGAACAGCACCCTCATAGTACTGAATATATTTGGTACTCTTGCTATTAGGATGCAGGAAATCTGAACCACCAACAGGAATGATTTTCTTTCTTTTATTTATTTATTTATTTATTTTGGATCAAACTCATTGGGAAATGACTTACCTGCTTCTGTAAAGCTACTTTCCTTGTAGGACTTTTCACCGAGAATGTCCATATCAAACTTTCAAAAAGAAAATAAATATATTGTTTAAACTGTCATATTTTAAGAAGTATATATCATGACAAGGACCATGAAAAAATTAAAACAAAGAAATGTAATATATCTAAGAAAGCATGTTTAAATGGCACACCAAAATCAAGGAAAATGGTAAAGTAAAAAGTAATTGTGCCACACATTTTTCAAGGAAGTTTTTCAGAATTCAACTAAGTATTTCTTGGTTTAACAAGAAACAATTTTTCATTCAATCCTTCCTATCCAGTCCTTCATCTTCTTGATTTGTTACATGAACCCTTCTTCTAGTATCTCTACCCATCTAAGACAGTCTGTACAACTAAAGACCAAGAGGCTTCCAATTATTTAATTCAATCACCTCTCTTTAATTATCTGACCATCCACTCACAAGAACAATCACAACCATTGAAATGTCTCAGCCACCTTAATTTCCATCTTCTGTATCAGTACTAAATAACAGCATATCAATTTTCATCCCTAGCCACGTCACCACCATCAGGAATCTCCATTTACACTGTTCTATGCATTAAGAAATCATTTACCTTAGAGGGAAGTAAAAAAGAAACTTTTGGTCAAGGAACATATATGTGGGAAGGGAGAAGAATGTTTAGGCAGCTGTTAGAATACGGAAAAGGATAAAAGCTGCAGCACCCTTTTGGTAGCTATCTAAAATAACTGATCAAGGCATGTTTGTGACATCAACGGGTCTGCACATAAAGTTATTCCTAAAAAAGAGATTTGGAAAAAGAAACATAACTTGAATTTGGGAGAAAAAAAATCACATTTTCAACTAAAAGAAAACAGAACCTAAGCAAGATTAACTTTTAAAACCAACTGCAGCGATGTATATTTACACTTGTGCCATGTGATGATTAATTTAAACAAGTTCTCTAACTGAAGCCATAAAGTTAACTATCTTACATGTGAATTTTTCTATAAGTGCTTCTGATGTTCCCAACATCATCAATGACAACATGTGTGTTAGACAAGTGTGCATTATCAGTTTTCTTCTCTTGGAAGCCTCTAAGTGATAACCAAATGCCGGATTCTCTGCAATTATGAATGAAAAGAAAGTCTTAGCAAGCATAAAGATTTGATGTGCCAGCACACAAAGTGCCTCATGAAAAACCCTTACATCAAATCAAGAGAAGCGAGACCAAAAGCAAGTAATGAAAAATGGCAGTGAAGGTGTCACATGAACAAAGAAAAATGAAACATTAGGTAATAAACTATGTGGATATAAATTAGAAGTTGAAATTTAGCTGATTTTTTTTTTTTTTTTAAAGGAAAAAGATTACAAGAACACCTGGCTAGAGAGCAGTATCGTTGCATTATTGGTCCATCTAAAGGTTCGGCAACTTTAAGATTGTCCTCATCGTTGGCACCAACATAAGAGAAGTTCTCAGGAAAACAGAGCAGTTTTGCCCCCTTGAAAGCTGCTTGCTTGCAGATACAAGCTCCAAAAAGTTGGTTAAATGAAATTATACACCAAACTACTACACAACCAAAATCAAAATAACATAGAATTTTAGTTCCGTAAGTACTAGTTTGCCAAAATTTCCTCTATCCTTGATGCATTGACACTTTATGTGATGATAAACAAAATAGTATAATAAAGCTGCACAACATACAGTAACATCACTACAAAGTGACACCCAAGAGTATCATAATACAATTTCCAAGCTAAGAAGCAATATCAGAAGTTTTCATGTTGACTCGAGCTCTCCAAAAACAGTTTTTGTTTTAATTTGTATAATACATATTATAAATGCATTTGATAGGCAATACCAAATTCCTGTTTCCATATCCATTGCACCCCTTCTGCGGCTAAGGTAAGGTGAAGAGCAATGAAAATAATTGCTCCACATTTTAACCTTACTTTAAAACAATGTTTTCCCGGTTTTTGCAATCAAAAGTGTTTATAGAGTATTCAAATCTTTGCTGAAAACAGGGACAAAACCTGAATGATTTCCACAAATCAGACTAACCACCTGTCTTCTCCTTACATTGAAATACATTTTTCTTGAACAGTAACAACAAATACCAGCCGAAACCTACTTTCTTTTTCATTACCTCTGTAAGTTCTCTTAATAGATGACTCTACTACAACGACAATTTGGTACACTAAGAATCTACAGTGATTGATGTGTGACACAAACGTCATGTCACCTAACTTTTTTGTTTTCTTATTTAGAATAACTAAGTTATCCCCAAACCAACTAAGCAAAATTCAATCTTCAAATAGTGATTCCATCAAATGCTCAAACAAATATTGACCACATCACACTCTTTACCAATAATATCAACACTCTTTCACATGCAGCATAAAGATATAAAAATTGTGTTGTATTAAGCTATCTTGACATATAATTCATTGATTATCAAATTAAATTCACAAAATTGAACAAATAAATAACGACAGGTCAATGTATTAGCAAGCTTAAACACAAAATATTATATATAGTGTATATATAAAACCAACAACACCAAATGATTGTTTTACTTTGACGAGCCGAGATCAGGTAGCGAAGTTGGCGGCAATGTCGTTGATCGACGTCATCTGAGCGACAGCGACTCGGACTGAGTTGGTGGCAGCTGCCATGGCTACTCGAACTCGCGTACGGACAGTGAATTGAATGTGAGCGGGTGATGAGTTTGTGTTGGTTGTGAGTTGACAATTGTCCGACTGTAACATGAGAAAGAAGTGGTAAGAGTTAGTTAGAGACGAAATGACGTCGTTTGATTTGAAGAAACTTACATATGCTTTCGTTGTTTTTATCTTATTTATGTAGTCCCCTAACTATTTGGGGTAATTAAAAATTATCCTATATTTTACCTTTCTTTGCTCATTTAACCCCTAAGTTTGGCTCTCATACACTTTTTCATTTATGATTTAATTATCTTGACAATGCTGAGTATAATAGGAGTGATTGATAGGTTTAAACTTTTAAAGATTTTTAATGGTTAAAGTTCAATGTGAAGAAGACGGGTAAAAAGAGAGATCGTTCTTTCTATAAACACCCCTAAAGTTGTGATCATTTTCAATACACCCCTAAAAAAAGGGAATGGTAATTTTTTCCAATATGTATAAACTATTTGTGCTGCAATATACAATAATGTAACAATTCAATTCTTACGTGTCAAATAAAACTAAATCAAGTACAGTATATCCATTTATTAGGATCTAAATAACGTATAAATACACATAAAATGAAGCGAAGCTACATTATCGCCCAGTTCAAGGAAGTTTTAACTTATGGGAAATTACAATATATACCAGCATTTCGACTGAAACGAAAGGGTAAATGCACAGATGCCTGTTTGATTTAAGCTACAAGAGGAATTCAGTGACGTTTAAAACACACCTGCTCCATTGATAGCGGATAGAGAATCTTGGGAAATTATAACGATGAAGACTTCCAGAAGTCAGCTGGCTTTCGATGCTGACATAGGAAATTGTATTGAGTACATGAGCAAAGCTACCATTTCATTACTACAGACTTTCAACTGACATCATTAACAAAGTCACAAAAATAAAGCTTCCTATCCATGCACCCCACATGCATTAGAATGAGAATTGGAGAGAACAAAGGACCAGGCAAACCACTTAAGTAACAGGAACTAGGTAGCTCAGATCAGACCGGATACACAGTGGACCGAGGTTTAACCAGTCATATACACTAAAGATATAACAGATTGATATTTTTTCAGTGCTTGTAAACAAGCACAAGTTATGTATTTCTCCATACATAAAAAAACTAGTTCTCGGCAGTTAGAAAGTAGAATATAGGCATTAATTAAGCACCCAGAGGATGCGCCAGCCTTCATCCCCAAATTGTTGTCCCCAAGTAGGCAAGCCTTGAAAATGACGCTAGAATCAAGCATAAGGACCCATGTTGCGATCTTACAAAGGGTTGGCTCTTGGGGTTTACAAAGGTTTGGTAGATAGCATTATCTAATAAGCTAGTTTTTTCTGGGTAGTTAACAAGCATCTTACTTGTGATACAATGTTGTGATGGTATTGGGATTACGTCAGACACTAATCAATAATGTTCTGGTTCAAGTTATTTTCAATATATTAACAATATAAAGCCCTCACAAAATATATTGAAACTTTACCTTTGCAATTGGCATTTTTGATCTCACTGAATCAATTAATGAGAAATCAATATCAGCTATAGCTATCCCTGTGGACAATCGATCTGAAACAGGACAAACCAGATTTTCTAATTAACACAACATCTATGCTAAATTCATGACAACAATAAGCGAAACAGAAGATTAAATAATTAAATTCAAGTTTAAATTTTTGATGCCAAAGACAGGGAACATGTGCGTAAAAGATACTTTGTTTATACAAGAGAACTTGTCCATACCAGGTAATCGACCTACAATTTTTCCCCAAGGATCAATTATTAGTGAGTCACCATAACTTTCTCTCTTATCATTATGCTTTCCAGCTTGTGAAGCAGCTATAACCTGATAAAACAATCATCTTGTCATGATGAGGTCACAAGATAACATATAAAATGAGAAATTAATGAATTTTGATTTGTCCTTCAACTATTTTAATATGAACTTTGGACGAACACCATGTTATTGAGTTTAAAGCTTGATTAAAATGAGATGAGATGAGATGAAAATAGATCCATACATAACATTGAGTCTCAATTGCACGTGCACGGAGAAGAATCTCCCAATGTGCCTCACCAGTTACTTTTGTGAAAGCTGAAGGTACCAATAGAACCTGCATATTGCAATAAAACACATGCGAAGTTTTAGATGCCAAAGAGACTAGCATATTAAAACATTAGGAATCTTACTGTGCTTCCTACCATACTAAAACATTAAGATTCTTACCTGTGCTTCATGTTGGAACCTGAGTTGCTGGTAAAGGTCGGGAAATCTCAAGTCATAGCAAACCGTCACCCCTAAACGCCCAAAGGGGCTGTCCACTGCCACAACATTCTTGCCTGAAAGCAATATCTTATTAGATGCATGCTATTACATTTCATCAATCAGGTTGGTCTACCACTTGAATGAAAAATTTCCTTTCTCAAAAAAGAATTAGGGAAGAACAAGTATCAAGAGTAAAAGATCTAGATCAACAAGAAGGCACGATATATTTATCTAGAAATCTGAAAAACTGGTTTTATTCTCTTCATCATCCATAAATCTACAAGCTTTTAGTTACAGGGACACTAATGTCAAAAAAATTTAAAAGCAATTTTAAGTACTCGGTGAACCAAATGAATAATAGCATCAAGCCAACAATATATGACAACACTATTGGATCATGAATTAACTGGTAGATTATATACATAAAAATTCCTAATAATGAAAAAATTTGGTACTCTAGATGTTGGGATGCAGGATTTCCGAGCAGGGACATAGGTTTTCTTTTTTTTTTTTTTTCTTTTTTTTCTTTTTCATTAGACACATAGGTAACTGGTTTACCTGCCTCTGTAAAGCTACTTTCTTTGTATGATCTTCCACCAGGAACATCCACATCAAACCTTCAAAAAGAAAATAAATATTTTATTTAAATCATCATTTCAAGAAACACATATCATGACAAGGACTACAAAATTATTAAAACCGAGAAACATAATACATCCAAGAAAGCTCAATTAAAATGGCACACAGTCAAGGAAAGTGATTAAAAAAAAAAAAGTAATTCTGCCACATATAGTTCAAGGAAGCTTTTCAGAAATGAAATATGTATTTCTTGGTTCACCAAGATTCACTTCCTTCCTAATAGGTCCTGTATTTCCTTGCTTTCTTTTTATTAACCCTTATTTTGGTATCTTTACTGATCTGAGACAGTTTGTAGAGCTAAAGACCAAGAGGCCTCCGATTACAATTTCAAACACCTTTCTATAATTTTCTGACCATCAATGTTTCACCCACTAGCTAGAACCATCATTACCATTCAACTGTCTCAGCCATCTGAATCACCATCTTTTCCATTGGTAAATGACAACAAATCAATTTTCATCCTTGGCCATGTTACCACCATCACAAATCTCCATTTACATTGTTCTACGTGTCAAGAAAACCATTTCCCTTTTGTTATGTGAAGCGGGAAATGAAGGCTGGGAGTAAAGAATGAAAACTTCTGGTCATGACTACATATATGTGGGAATAGAAGGTAATGTCTGGCTGCTATGGTTGGAAGATGGAAAAGAATAAAAGTTGCAGCACCCAAATCAAGGCACATTTGTCCCATCAGGAGTCTACACATTTGGGGGTTAATATAATCATATAAATTTGTACTTAAAGCAGACATTCGGAAAAAGAAACATAACCTGAATTTGGGAGAGCAAAAAATTAATAGTTTTAACCAAAAGCAAGCAAAATTAACTTTTAAAACAAATTGCAGTAATGTATATTTATAGTTTCTCCATACTAATGATCAACCAAACAAATTCTCTTAATCAAACCTGAAAGTCAACTATCTTACAAGTGAATTTTTTTATAAGTGCTCCTAATGTTCCCAGCATCATCAATCACAACATGTGTGTTAGACAAGTGTGCATCATCAGTTCCCTTCTCTTGGAAGCCTCCAAGTGACAACCAAATGCTGGATTCTCTGTAATTAATGAATGAGAAGAAAGTCGATTAGATGAATGAAAAAACATAAAGATTCAACGTGTGAGCACACAGCATGCAAAACTCTGGCATTAAATCAAGAAAAGTGAAACTAGAAGCAAATAATGAAAAAGGAGTAAAGGTGACAGATCAGTAATAAAAAATGAAACATTAGCTAAACACCTTGCTAAAGAGCAGTATTGTTGCATTATTGGCCCATCTAAAGGTTCCGCAACTTTAAGACTGTCCCCATCCTTGGCACCAACATAGGAGAAGTTCTCGGGAAAGCAAAGTAGTTTTGCACCAGCAGAAGCTGCTTCCTTGGAGAAACAAACACTAAAAAATTAGTTAAATGGAATTATACACAAACTATTACATAACCAATATCAAAACAGCAAAATAGTACCCTAATAACTACTTCTCAAAAATTGCCACTATCATTGATAAATTGACATTTTACGTGATGACATAAGAAACAGTATAAAGAAGCTTCCCAACATAGTGCAACATCACTAAAAAGTGACACGAGTATATCATAATACAATTCCCAGAAGCAGTATCTAAAATATGAATGTTGAGCTTGAGTTCTCCATGAACAGTTCTCGTTTCAATTTTGTATAATATTTTACATGCATTTGATAGGCATCACCAAGAGTATCATAATACAATTCCCATTTTATTATGAATTCATATTAACACAGAATTTTCATTTGGTTAAGATGGATAACTTTTTCTCTTTTGAATGATATAAAAATACACATGTCAATTCCCTACATGCATTGATAAATCTAAGATACGGCACAGTTCTAAAAAGGAACTCACAATTCAGTCTGAGATTACAGTTAATTCATTAATTACAAAAAAATATAAGTAGATGCTAACTACAAGTAGATGTAATATCAAAGTCAAGCAATAAACGTTACAGAAACAAACAAAACCAAACAAATTTTAAAAAATGCATAAAACAAAAATTTGCAGTGATGATTGTTTTACTTTGGCCAGGCGAGAGCAGGTAGCGAAGTTGGCGGCAAGGTCATTAATTGACGTCATCTGAGCGACGGCCACTCGGACTGAGTTGGCGGCAGCTGCCATGGCTGACTCCGAATCGCCGGCACGTGACTGCACAGATATTGAGTTTAAACGTGAGCGGGTTGTGAGTGTGTGTTTGGGTTTAGGTTGGGTTGACGATAATCTGACCGTCCTGAGAGGAAGAGTGATGCGAGTTAGATGGAAACAAAATGACATGTCGTTTGATTTGAAGAAACTAACTCTAGCTTTTTACGGCTCGTTGTTTTTGTCTTATTCCACGCCCTAAATTATTATGTAATTATTAATTACCCCATTTTGTTACTTTTTTATGGTGACCCCTAAGTTTGTCTCCTATGTTAGTTCACTCCGTAGTTTTAGTAGTTTCTATAAGTTAGGTCAACTCATTACAAAAACAAGAGAACACGACACATATTCCCAGCCGAAGTTTAGCGAAATTAATTGCATTTATTTTAAATTCTCACCATTAAAGTATCTTGTTTCCTTTATTTTAACATATTTCTAACTTTTTGCTATAACGCAGTACATATTAGCATACTAAAGTGCGCCAGCATTTTATTTGACAAAAGATTGGTTCATTTAGCAAAAAGGCTTACGTTAGCAATGCTTAAGCCGACAGTTTTTGGTTTTTTTAGCCGATTCCAAAGTTCAAAATCACATCCGAGATCACCGTTGAACTCCTTACAACCTACTCTACAAAATTCATACATTCATTTGCTGACCTCACTCATTGTTTTTTATCACCTCTAATAGTCACTAACGATGTTAGTTTAAGGATAAAAATCTAAGATAAATGTAATTATGGGTATCAACTTAAGTCAGCCACCCAAAAAAACAATTAGGTGACCATTTTAATTTTTCCTTTTGTTTCTGATGCTTATTGCAGTATCCATCCTCAATTTTTTTTTCCCACAGTTTTAATATTCAGTTTTAAAGAGGAAAAAGAATATAAATTTATTTATTATTTACATTCAAATGGTACTATTATGAAAGAAACTCAATAGTAGAAATGTGAACGAAGTGGCCCAAAATTAAGTTTACTAGAAGTTGAAGTTGAAGTGAGATGGAGTATATTCTAAAGATTATTCCAAAAACAATTTAATATGTCGTGAAAAACAAAATTACTCCGAAAATATTTTTGTTTTTGTTTTTTTCTCAAAGGGAAAAAAGTTTTTACTTTGCTATATTAAGGAGAAAAGAAGAAGAGCAAAGCAGCAAAGCTTGCCTAAAATGGTGGTTTGTTGGAGGTCAAAGTCAAAACCCCAGGCAATAAATTAGAAAGCCAAACTGAAAACTTCAATTTCCAGCCAAAAAATAAAATAAAATACCCCCCAAGAGATTTTTCAATTCATGGGTATTTCAAAACGCAAGTTTTGTTGCTGTGTAATTTCTTCTTCTTCTTCTTCTTCTTCTTCTTCTTCTATCTTGGTTGTGCAACAATAGAACCTATCACAACTTGTTAATCTCAGTTTCAATCTCTCTCTGTGTTTCTAGATCTACCCTTTTGAAGAAAAAACTTTTTTTTTTCAAACGCCAAGACTGATAAAACTTTCAAAGATTGGTTCTTTGTTTGTTTGGTAATTTTTAGGGCATATCTAATGATGGGGTTTGGGATTTAAGGTTTTTAATTGGAGGATCATACAATTTTCTCTTTTTGATTCACAAGGTATGTAGGAAAAATTACGTCTTTTGATTTATTATTTTTTATAACTTTTGGTGTATTTGGATGATTATGTTGTGCAATTTGATTATATACCCATTGATTTCTTTGATGCCTAATTGGTTTTACAATTTTTGTGTTCTGTAATTTTTTTCAAGTTTTGGAATATACCCACCGCTTTGTTTTATTTTCATTGTGCAGATTTGTTTTACCTGCATTGATTCTCGTTTTTAACTCATGTTCTGTAACGGCTGGACCTACCCATCAACTTGTTTTTGCCTCTAAGGTCTTTAGGTTGATGTTGTTTGTTTTGGTCTAAAATTCATATTATGCAAATTTTGTACATATCCCTCTGTTTGATTGATCTCTAGTTGCAGTTTGTTTTGTTTTTCTAATGCATGTATAGATTGATCATGACTGTGTTTTGATTTATGTCTAATGATTGATTTATCTGTTACCCCTTTTGCAGATTAATGTTGTCTGCATCCATCAATGTGTGTTTGTTATGTGAAACTTCTATTATGGGGTTAAACATTGAGAAGAGATCGGAACAGAAACTGTGGTTTTGTAAAGTTGTTAATATTGAGTTGATGAATAATTTGATTGCTGGATCATTTGGATGATAATATGTAAGTCATGGTGTCAGCTGCATTTTTGAAAATTGTTTCACCTTGTTGGAAGCCTGTGGTTGAGGGTGAAAATTCTAGTGATGGAGAAGGTTCTGGTCAGGTTGATGGATTGTTGTGGTACAGAGATTCAGGACATCAGGGTAGTGGGGAATTTTCTATGGCAGTAGTTCAAGCCAATAGTCAATTAGAAGACCATAGTCAATTAGAATCAGGGCCATTGAGTTTGCATGAATCAGGTCCTCAGGGAACATTTGTTGGTATTTATGATGGCCATGGAGGTCCAGAAGCTGCTCAGTTTGTAAATCAACGCCTTTTTGACAATATCAAGAGTATGTTTTTCTTCCTCTTGTTCAGTGTAATATTGAGTTCATGCAATTTGTTACTACACTATTGGCTCCTTTGTTGCATCGTGTAAATTTGGTCATTTTTATGCTATAAAAGGGAGAAGAAGTATAAATGATAACTTTAGAATTTAGATACTCCAATGGGAATATGTTATGTCCTTTCTCTCTCTCTCTTCTAGGCAATAGTATCCGTTGCCACAGCTTAATGAAAAGCTGAACTGAATTTAGGTTTTTGATGATTTATTACGAATTGAGAATAGATATGCTAATGCATCTATGGTTTAGCGAGCTTGAGAACTGTTTTACCCCTTATTGTCCTTGCTCTTGAATTTTTGTTGGTAAATAAAACGAAATACATAAATATCATGAGCTAACCTGCAATCTGCATATGTAGAGCCCACATAAAACTTGTAGCTATATTTATTGACCACAAGAATTTGGGGAAGATGCAAGATTTTATACCAATTTGTAAGTACACAACCACTAGTCCATGTTGAGTGTCAATACTCATGGAAGCTACCTCTGGAATAGCCAAATGAAATTGGTTTTGAATGTTGATGGTGGCTTGAACTCTAGATTCACTCTCTCTCTCTCTCTCTTTGAGTTCCATTGACATTTTTCCTCAGTTTTGGTTTCCAGTGTTTAGACTGCTAATGCATACGTTTACTGACTTGACAGCTATTCATGATGCAGAGTTTACAACTGAAAGTTATGGGATGTCCGCTGATGTTATCACTAAAGCATTTTTGGCAACAGAAGAGGAATTTCTTTCTCTAGTGAAGCAGCAGTGGCTAAGGAAGCCACAGATTGCCTCCGCTGGTTCATGTTGTTTGGTAGGTATAATCTGTAGTGGAATGCTATACATTGCAAATGCAGGTGATTCTAGGGTGGTATTAGGAAGACTGGGAAATAATGTTAAAGAGGTCAAAGCTATCCAGTTATCAAAAGAGCATAATGCAAGTATAGAATCTGTGAGAAAGGAATTACACTCGTTGCATCCTGATGATCCACAGATTGTTGTTCTAAAGCACAAAGTTTGGCGTGTGAAGGGTATCATACAGGTAACTTTTTGAGGCTTTATAATAGACGTTTATTTACTTTTAATGGTTTATCACCATTCACTTTGTTATATTTCTTAAATCCATCTCTGTATATTATGTGTTTACATTGAATTCTCTATACCGATGAGTGATGAGTGCTTTGACCTACCAAGCTACAATGTTTGAATAAGAAGCTCAAGTTATCAGCTTGGACATGTTATTGTTTATCATTGAATTTCTGACTGATTCAGAGCAAATAGAATACTTGGGATATTCATTATATTTGGACCACTAATGCATGCTGACAAAGTCAAGTATAATTCATGCTTGAAAAGATTAATACCTTTTTCATTTTTTCTTTATTTTTCTCTTGATATGTAATTGGTGGAAATGATTTATGCATGACAATAAGTATGATTTAAATTGTTTTTTTACCTGTGTCATGATTAAATACACAAGAGAGGTGCTCTGTTGATAGAGCTTTGTTATGAATTGCAGATTTCAAGATCCATTGGTGATGCCTATCTGAAGAAGGCAGAGTTTAACAGAGAGCCTCTTTTACCCAAGTTTAGACTGCCAAAGCCCTTCCATAAGCCAATCCTTAAAGCAGAGCCAACGATATTGGTGCAGGAACTGGACTCTGAAGATCAGTTTCTTATATTTGCATCAGATGGCCTATGGGAGCACCTAAGCAATCAGGAGGCAGTTGACATTGTCCACAACTATCCACGTAATGTAGGATATTTATTTATAGTTTTGAGTTATCTATGTATTTTTGTTGGTTATTTTTATTAAGGGTACAACTGATGTTGGGGTTGGATGACAGCTAATGTTTTAAGAACAAGTGGCCTTCTTTGTTTCTTTGACTCTATTACATACAGAATTTATAGCATGTCTCGTTTTTCTATTTCAAGTAAAAGTTTGAAGGTAAACTATCCTGTAGTAGTAATGTTAATGTGTGTAATCCATTAATTATTATTCCTGCAGTACCTGAAATGGTTTCTTTCCCAGAAAGTCGTTTGTTTATGCTTTTCTCCCCCATAGAAACATTTTATTACAGTATTGCTTGTATTTACTACATTACGGCATGGCAAGCTTTTATTATTCTCCACATAAATATGTTGTATGTATGTAAAGTTCAGTTATGAGTTTTCTATTTTTTAAGTTGTGTCTGAACATACTCCCATCTTATCCATTTGAATGCAGGGTATTGCAAGGAAGCTTGTGAGCGTTGCACTACGTGAAGCAGCAAAGAAAAGAGAAATGAGATACTCTGACTTGAAGAAAATTGATCGTGGGGTGAGGAGACATTTTCATGATGATATTACGGTCATAGTTTTGTTTCTTAATTCTTATATGATCAGTCACAGCTCCTGGGATGGCCCGTTGCTTTCAATTAAAGGAGCTACTGGTGGTATGTGTGGAAATGCCAACACATAGTTCAAGAGGTTCTAACTATCCCTTCATCTTTGTTTTCCTCGCTTGTATCAAAACAATTTTTTTCAAAGATTGGACATTTGGAAAAAAAAGTTCCAATGTATAGCCACGGATCTTGGAAACTTATTTTCATAATGTTGTAAGAGACTATGTGGACATCGGTTGACAGATGAAATGCCCAAGAAAAAATCTCTTTAGAATTTGTTTGTTGATTGACTGATGATAATTGGAAAAATGTTACGACAGCTTTGGTCTCAACTAATGCCTGAAGAACATAAAGAATATCGCCCATAAGGTAAGGGTAAAACCTGTGGATAGAGTTTCATTTCGTTGCCTTTTCAGTAACTCCACAGATTATCAAGTGTATCACCATTGAAGGTGACCTGAAAGCAAGAAGAGGAATAGTTGATCATGAAACAATTCTGGTTATCATCAAAATGAATAATCATGACATTGTTCAAAACCTGACTCGAAAATACTGATTGATATTATACTATTTAAATTTCTGTAGTTAGTTTGCCAGATGTTGCATTAACTTTTTCTCTGATTTGTTTTAATGCTCAATGTTCTGCCTGTTTTGATAGAATCAAAGTTTGATGTGCCTTGCTTTATAAGCATCGACTAACAATGAATGAGGAAGTTTTGGTTCAGGCTTTGCTTAATAGATAGATTCTCATTCTTTGGAAATTAACAGTAGTATGAAAGTTTTTTTTACTGAAAGTGATTGTCATTCTCTCATCTCAAGAAGTCTTACCATAGAAATTTGTAAGGCTCTTTGAAAGCAAAAGATTGCTTTGGTAATGGCTTTTGAATCAGCTAGAGTTTAGCTATTGTTTTGGACTTGTTTTCTTCTGTATATGTTTTTTTTTATTTTTTTGTCTGTTAATGCCATTTAAAACCAAAAAAATGGATTGCCCTTTAGCTTCTCCGTCTTCTGAGAACCTCAAGAGAGCCCACCAAAGCTCTCAGCATGGGGAATAACTTTGTCTCTTACCTTTTCATATTCTATAAATAATTCTTCAAGAGGAATAACACAAAGTTAAGCACAAATGAATCACCATCGACAAAAAGTATTCTGGGAAAGGGCACTTTGATTGGAAAATATTTTCATTTTGTTTGGACAATAATGTGAAGGGATAAAGATTGTTGTTTTACAACTCAATCTTACAAGTTTTCCTTTATAATCCTGTTGTGGTAGTCCATAATTTGATAGATAGACTCATAGCAAGTAGTATAACTCATTTATAAGCTAATCACATTGGGGTTGGGAGAGAAAGTATGTGAGATTGGGTTGTAAGTGTATGTAAAAATAGAATCCTTGAATTTGTTATCAGATCCCACTTGTCCTGTTTTTTTATGCTTTCCAAGAGTGAAAAAAAAAAAAAAGAGAATAAAAGGAAAATCAAATTAACATGAAAATATCTTCCGGTACACAGAGCATTTCCTTTTAACATTAGCACTGCCTGTAAGCCACGAGGACAGAAAATGGTCCAAATTTTCTGGGAAAATATTTTCATAATTTAGTTACATGACTTAACATACCAGTTATCACTTATCACCACTCGTGTCCCGATCTGCCACTTCACACTTTATATATAACTCGTGTATAGCAACAGTCATCTAACTTTCAAAACTTCGCCAAATCAAACACAAGAATTGATGGCCACTTTATCTCTAAGCAACACTCCCAGTACGAGTGTTTCGTCACGCCTGACGTCTTCACTTTCTTTCTCTTTCTCTCCTTCTCTTTCCTCCAAGAAAAATATTATAAGACTTCCTCAGCTTCAAGCCAATCTTTGCTTCAACTGTTACAACAACACTCTCTCTAGTTTACCAGTTAAGAAATCCAGAGTTAGCACTTGTATATCTGCAACAATGGCCGCCAAGTAAGTGAATTTTTTTCTGTTTTTGCTTCTTGAAAATAAAAAATAGAAGTGGGTTTGAGGTTCTAAGTCTTGTTATGCAGTGTTGTGCAAGAGGTTTTGCCTCCAGCTCTGGATTCTACCTCTGACCCTCCTGCAGTCTTCGATGGTACAACAAGGTAAACTCAGCATTTAGTTCAGTTTCTTGTAATTTGTGTTTCTTTCAATATTCTGATGAATCTGAATAGGGTTTGTTTTGCGTTTTTATGCGTTTGAAGGTTGTATATATCGTACACTTGTCCATTTGCTCAGCGTGTGTGGATTACCCGGAACTGTAAGGTTGTTTCTGAAACTCTGTGTTGAGGTTATTGAAAGAAAAAAGAGGAGAATTGTATGTTATTAGTTATGATTTGGCTTTGTAATTACATGAACAGCTGAACTGAACTATAAGTCAAATAGTTGAAAGACTTTAGTTGGGTGGAGGTTTTCATTTAATTTTATTCCATCAAAATCTTACACTTCTCTTTTTGTTTGGTATTAATTTTGGGGAGCAGGGATTACAAGAGAAGATTAAACTGGTTCCTATTGATCTGAAGAACAGGCCTGACTGGTACAAGGAGAAAGTTTACCCAGCGAACAAGGTCAGTTTGCGGAATGCAATAGACTTGGAGGCTGCGGTTTTGTCATTTGTAACATTGAAGAAACAGATAGTTGTTTTTTGGTTTCACGTATAGGAAAATGGAAAATTGATCTCTATTATGCCAAAAACATATTGTAAAAGGGTAATTTTCAGATATCATTAATTTCCACAGAACATGAAAAGATTCTTTGTATAATTGCTTTAGACTTGTAGAAATCTGGCAAAGTTAACACGAAATTACTAGTGATTTTGATTGGAAACTTTGATACTAGGTGGTGGGAAGTAATTAAATGGACAGAACTTGAAACCTAGAAATGAGATTTATTCTTCTATGCATTGATTTGCGTGGAGTTCTGCACAGGTGCCATCGTTGGAACACAATAATGAAGTTAAAGGAGGAAGTCTTGATTGATCAAATATGTTGATAGTCATTTGAAGGACCGTCACTTTTTCCTGATGTAAGATTCGAAGAATACTCTTGTATACTGTTTCCAGCTCCATTTTTTTTAAACACAAAAAAAAATTAAATGCATATTCCCTGAATTTTAGGATCCAACTAAGAAGGAATTTGCAGAGGAGTGTTTGCCTACACTGACACATTCAGTAAAAGTGTGGTTTCTTTCATGAAAGGAGATGGAAATGAACCTGGTAACTTCATTGAGTTGCACACTACACTCCACCCTTGCTGCTATACATTATTATACTCAAAGTATGCCTCATCATATCTGCTTATGTAACCATAAAGAGAAATTGTATCAGGTGCTGCATTTGATCATATCGAAACGGCCTTTCCAAATTCAATGAAGGGCCTTTTTTCCTTGGCCAGTTCAGCCTAGTAAGTCAAAAAATTTATTTTTCGCTTTTTTCCAATTACTAGTTTGATTCTGAAAATCATCTACTGAAAAAAGTTCAACACAATCTCTCTTTTTTGTCTCTTTTGTGCATGAATGAATTTGTTATGCAAAGAAAATTAAGAAGTTCTAATTAGGGTTATGTATACAGGTGGATATAGCTTATGCCCCATTCATCGAAAGATTTCAACCTTCTTATTGGAAGTAAAGAAGTATGACATAACCGCTGGCAGGCCTAAACTGGCGCTTGGATTGAGGTACAATACATAACCCTGTTATTTTCTGGTTTTCTTTTTGTTGCTGCAGTTATACGAGATGTGATTTTGTTTCAGTAGGATGACTTATTTTTAGTCTCCTTCAAACCAGAAAATTTCAATAAAAGTCAGGTTCCTATATCATGCTGAGAAATTTCTTTAATATGAAAACTCGAAAGCTGAACCTTTATAAGTTGGCATGAATCGACTGTAACTAGAAACTGAATAAGTTCTTCTAAATTGAGAGATGATGTTCAATTAAGCACTGTCAAACTGCATTCTCTGAAGTGGAAGGAGAAACCATGCTTTATGTCAGTATTTAATTATAATATACTGTAATTAATGTTGTGCTGTGCAGGAGATGAACAAAATGAGGCTTCAATCAAACCCGGCGTGATCCAAAGGAGCTTGTTGAAATCTACAAGCAACGCTTCGCGGTATTTGCTCCTTCAACATTGAAACAAATCTGAATTCTATGAATTGGTTGTAGACGAAAAAGATGTGCTAATTTCTTCTTTCAAATTCATTTTTTTGCAGGCTCATCTCTGAACTGTGGGTATTCCAGCCTCACCGGTCAACCTCATAATCAGCATGATAAATCGCTTGAACCTGCAATGTCTACAATTATCTTCTATTAAGCTTGGCTGGAATATAATTACTGGGGAGATAATGTATTCTATTTAAGCTTGAACATGATAAATGTATTGTATTTTTATGTAAACTGACACCAAGAGAGTTATAAGTTCTCTCTATCGAGTTTGAAAAGAAAATAAAATGGTTTTGTCCGGTGCAAATCATGTTGTATTTCTTCTCTTAAACACGTATGAGACCATTTTTCCTGAAGGAAAAAACAAAACAAAGGCTCTCCGATTTCGCAACATATGGAAATCCCCTTTGACTAAATGACATTGCTTTCAGAAGGAAGAAAAAAGTGTGGACATGTGAAATACACGTAGCACAATGTCTCTCATACAAATGATGAAAATGTATCGAAGTATGCCCATGATAATCTCTGAAAATTTTAATTGAAGGCAATATATAACAATCAAAATTAAAATACTTTAACTACCTTTTACAAGCCGAATCAAACAATGGCCTTTGTGAAACTAAGCTATTTTACAAGTTTCCCTTAGATAATTCAGTTTCAAGCTCTCTTTCTTCTCCCTCAAAGAAAATATAAGACTCTTCCCATGCTCTAATGTAAACTCTCCTTCACTGCACCAATCAGAAATCCTCACTTATTTCATTAAGAAAAGACAGCCGCAGGGCGAGAGTATCAGCAGCAATGGCAACTGGGTAAGTTGTTTGCTTTCTTTTGTTCTGTAGCGTAGCGTTTGCGCTTTTCAACTTTTAAACTCAACTATTAATGATCTTTTTGTGTGCAGAGAGGAGTGTGCAAGAGGTTCTTCCTCCAGAACTCGGGTTAGTTCAGACCCGCCTCCAATCTTCGATGGAACAACAAGGTTTGTTTTACATATTCGATTCTCTGGGTTTTTGCATAATAATTATACGTTGGCAGTTAAAACAAGCAGAATTGCTTCACTGAAGTCTTGTTTTGTTGAAGGTTGTATATCTCCTACATATGCCCTTATGCGCAGCGTGTTTGGATTGCCCGGAACTGTAAGGTTACATTAACTTCTGTTTGTTCTTGGAAAAACTTTTGTAACTCAACCCAACTAGCCTAGTAGTAAAGATATAATGGTCAATATTAATTTTCTTTCAAAAAATCCTCTGGGAAAGCAGGGTTTGCAGGACAAGATCAAATTGGTTGCAATTGATTTGGAAAACAGACCTGCTTGGTACAAAGAGAAAGTCTACCAGCCAACAAGGTGAGGTTTATCCTCAAATTTGGAACACAAATGAATCAATAATTGAAAGACATCATCTCTATGGATTATTAGAAGATATAGCAAAACTGAATTTTTGAAGATTACTATATTCAAAATGCAGTTCATTTTCTGTTTTCCTTACGGATTTTTGTGAAACATTATGCAGGTACCATCATTGGAACACAACATGAAGTCCACGGCGAGAGTCTCGATTTGATGAAATATTGACAAACATTTTGAAGGTCCTTCATTGCTTCCTGATGTAAGATTTTGGAAACACTTACATTACTTATTTTCAACCTGATTTCTTACTCTGCAATAATAGCTCATACTTTGAATCATATAGGATCCTGCAAAAAGGACTTCACCGAAGAGTTGCTGTCTTACTCTGACTCATTTAACAGAGCTGTGATTTTTTCACTCAAGGAGAATAACTGAAGCTTGTCGGTTTTAACACTTTCCGCTTCCAGTTTTTTGTTCACTATGTTCAAACAAAATAACCCTTGACTGCATTAGGTGCTGCATTTGATTACCTTGAAAATGCTCTTTCCAAATTCGATGATGGACCTTTTTTCCTCGGACAATTCAGTGTGGTGAGTACAAATTTTTCTATTCAGTATAGCACCAGAATTGGATCTGCAAATGAAGAAGAACAATGCAGTAATGAATTTTATCATAGTTTCACAACTGAAAAATAGCTAGAATTTTTGTATGTTGTCATATCCAGGTAGATATAGCTTATGCTCCATTCATTGAAAGATTTGAACCTTTGTTATTGGATGTGAAAAAACATGACATCAACACAGGAAGGCCAAAATTGGCAGCTTGGTATCAGGTACAACTTTTTTAACATTTATATCTTTCAATGTAGTTTTGAACTTGAGTTCAATAAGTGGGCATATCATAACTGTAAATTGATGTTTGTATAGGCTATGAGAAAGACGAGGCGTACGAACAAACGCTGCGTGATCCGGTGGAGCTTGTTGAAGTGATCAGAGAAAATTCATGGTAAATTTCCTGTTTATCAAATTTTGAGTTCTCCAAACGTTGGCAATTTAAGGATAAGAGATCTCCTTTCTTGATGAATTTCTTCTGCAGGCTTAGCTCTGACTCCCACTCCGCGCCTTGGTTATTTTTCTCTGATATCACAGTTTGTATTTGTAATATTCAGTCTGCATGATCCAAATGTGGATTTGATGAATCTTTTCTACTAACTGTGAGGGGGGCGGGTTAAGTAGGATTACTGGGATTATGTCATTTTATATTATTGATTACCATTGGTGTCAAGTATATAAGATGCCAATAATATTTAAATACCAATAGTGGTTACTATGGTAATATCAGAAGTAATCTGATTACCTCTATTTTCTTAGGTATTCTGAGATTATCAGGGTATCTTTTTTTGTTACAATTTTATCACTTATTAATAAAATTTTGGACAATAATACTCCTACTTTAAAACAAATTTACATTAATATTCTATTTCAATTTTACCTTTGTTAATTAAAATTTGGACAATAATACCCTCATATTTAAAAAATTTACAGACCACCACTCACCTGCCACCACCGCCACTGCCATCCAACCACCACCGTCGACAGCGGCCAACGACCACGGACCGTCGCCAAAAAATCGTCGGAGTCCCTGAAAAGGAACGAAATTCCGTGAGAGGCTCGGAGGCTTCGCTGATGGCCGAAAACGGCCACATCAGGCTTGATATGGCCGTTTTCGGCCATCAATATGGCCAGAAACGGCCATAGCGGAGCCTCTTGGTCAGGTGAGGTACTCGCATGGACTTTCGAAGACATCCGGCTGTGGTTCGCGGTGGCGACGAGCGGCGCAGGAGGTGGGGGTGATTTTGTCATAAATTAAAGTTTTATATAGCGGGGGTGTTTTAGCTAAATCTGAAATATGGGGGTTAAAAGAAATTATTCAAAAATTAATAATAAAAATAACATTATATTATATTTAAAACGAGGACAAATTAGTAATTTAAATAACGTACCCACCAATTTATTCCCTATAACCAAACTATTAATATAACATACCCACTAACCAACCAAACACATTTCTTAAAGATTCTCAGTAATCTTTCAAGGTAATCTACTTTCCAGTAATAGCATTCCGAACCAAACGCCTCCTGAATGTAATTTAAGTCCCACTAAAACGATTAATTGAGTTGGATAATCACCAATCATTACAGACTGTTTTTTCATGATAATTAATTTAAACATCAATTAATTCTTTAAAGAGAATACTACAGTTACTGAAGAATTCGTGCGAAATGACATGACACAATCCTAACCGTTGATTTATTATAAGTTAATATTAATCAATGGTAAGATTTTGCTATATTATTAGTGCATAGATTCAGTGTGTAATTTTCGATAACTCTATTATTTTCCTTCTTAAAAAAGGGATAAAAAAATTTGGGGGTCCGCTGAAACAATGGTGAAACCTGCTCTGCAGATAATTTTCTAGACAAAAGGTTTCCGAAATATTAACCAACTTTCTGATTGACAGTTCAGTAAAAAAAGATAATACTAAGAATATACTGATACATGTCACAATTCAATAAACTAGCAACAGAAAGATACATGAATCTCAATTGTAAAACTCATCTAGAAGTTCCTTTACTAATCAGGAAGCATGTGATTAAGAAATACAATAAGAAATGAAGTTTATAAAATCACAATCAGCCTCAATTGTGTATTGGGTCAAACTCCGGATAATATCTGAAAAAGATAATCTAAAATTGTTAGATTTATCGCCCAATTTATGTTTCACTTCATAAATTCAACTAGAACATATTCTTTCAACTCCAAGGCTGCATTTCAGTAAAATTACCGACTACAAACGTGTTTCCGGCAGAATCCAATCACTTGATTGCCCAGTATGCTCTCGAATTGTCTCCAAAGCTGAAACCCCCCATTGGGTCAGAGCAAGAACATGAAATTGGAGATGGGAAAAATCTTGTTTTCAAATCTACATCATTACACTCCTCAAAAATGGGGATTTTTTTAGATTTCGAACTATATTCTGCACTTTAAAGTAACTTATATATGCACAAACTCTGGGAAAGAACTTCTTTCCCTTGATGCTTATCTGAAGAACCCTGCTTCAATGTCTGAAGATAATAATAGAAAAGGTTTGAGAAATACGGCAGCACCTCTGCACAAACCCAGGCAAGGGGGTTCATGTTAGCTAGCATAAAGCAGGGGTCAACTGAAACTACTTGAGCAACACTTTTGATATCTTCCCCATATACACGGCTAAAGACCATAAGGAAAGCCCCGCTGAGAGATAAAGCAAAGCAACACCAGAACCTACTAGATACCATGGCCCTCCAAGACTGCATAATAACAAAAAGATAAGAGAAAACATGTCAGAAACTTTATGCTATAATTCATAAATTCCTCTTTGGAGAACCACTTCTTTCATCTTAATCGTAGAAGGAGATATGTACCTGCTATCTCGAGTAGCTAGGAGGATGATCAGTGCAATCATCTGTGTTGCAGTTTTCCACTTGCCCAGATTATTTACCGCAACAGCCTAATAAGAATATTGTAATTTGTGGTTAATAATCAACCATTTGTCTTTGGGTTAAAAAATTCAAATGCCTCTACATTTTAGAAATGTGAGAGATAATGAGCTGGCTTGAAAGGGCGAAAAAAAACCTCTAAAAGCTTAGCATTCTGAGAAGCAGCCCATTCTCTAACTGCAGACATGGTTATCTGCAAAAAAAAAAAAAAGTTGAAAAACTGATTTATAAGGCATTCAGTATCAATTTACACAAGATGTTAGAATGTCAGACAAGATGATATATATTTGTTCACATGCCACGTAAATGCATCAGCACAAAGAGAGACACAGACCGACAAGGCTTGTTACAAGTTTACAAAACCTTCAACAGGATGCTCATGTCACATTTACAATTGAAGTATTATTTCAAGGGGGAAGGGGCAGGGTGACAAGGCAATAACTTCATCATCAATAAAATTGCTGACAATTGAAATTTGCAATGTCCTTAATCACAATGGAGATCATAAAAACTTCAGCAATAGTGACTTAAATAGCATTAAGACCTTGTTCTTTAAGATCACTATAACTCTCATCATTATACCTAAAAATCAAAAGCTTCATAGATCAAACACCAAAAGGAAGCTACAAAAGGAAATTTTGAGGCTAAATTACTAAAACGAACATAAGAAATGAGCAGAGCAGAGAAACACATGCACTGCCTATCATTTTACGAAAAAATTTGTAGTACATGCATCTTAAGTAGACAAACAAAATACATCCATTGGGGTTATGGAGAGATGATAAATAATTCATAATGCATAGTACCTCTCTACCAATTATTGCAATTGAAGGTACAGGCAGTAGCCACGGCACTTGCCCAAACGCTGATATTTCCAAAGGTCTCGTACACAATAAGACCAATGTTGCAGCAACCATAAGCTACATAAAAAGGTATAAAACCAAATAAGAATCCTTGAATAATATTTCTCACAACTTAACCAAGAACATTCATTAACTTGACTGGCTTGAACCATTAAATTAATATTTGGTTACAAAAAATAACAATACCTTATCAGCTACTGGATCCAAAAAAGCACCAAAAGTAGAGCCCAACCTCATCTGAAACACATTCAACCATTGCGCCATAATCAATAGTAAAAATAACTACACAAATCTTTAACTTCTCCTCTATAATTTTAGTATGAACAAGAAGATATACCTTGCGAGCAAGGTAACCATCAAGCCAATCTGTGATTGCAGCAGCAATAAAAATACTGGTCGTTGCAGTCCTTCCCCACCAACTATCCACATAGAAGGCTAGACAGAAACATTATCATGTTAGTATCATCCAATGCACGGTCTTCGCAATAAATTCAATTTCACAAATTTCAGTGGCGCGATAAGCAATCTATAAACATGATTCAGAAAATGCACCTCAACACTTGACAATTCAAAAGCATCACGTAATATCAAACTATGCAATTGATCAATATCAATAAACGTTTTCTCTAAGTAACGAGCCCTGATCGAAATATATATGGCTTGATTCACCAAACTATAATTCATAAACTAGATCAAAATTAATGCGAAAGTTAGATCTAATTCCGTCAAGATTGACAAATAAATAATACATTCCTGTTAATTTATTAAGAAGAAGAAGAGAAACGTACTGCCAATGAGGAGCGGCACGGCGGCAACGCGACCGAGCGTTAAGATAGTAGGTAAAGTGAGCACCTTAGAAGACGGTGGTGGTTGTTGTTGTTGTTGTTGATGCGGCATTGACGGTGACGGCGTTGTATTACCGTACCAATCACCACCATTAACGGTCTTCTCATTATCCGGATCCATGTCAGTGACAATATCCGACCCGGAAGGAGGAATGGGATTTAGATTGGACCCGGAAAAGCCGGCTTTATTAAAAGGGGACGAGGAGGGAGTGGGAGTAGAAGAGAAGCAAGTTTTGCTGCCACGAATCATAGTAAAAAGGACGGGTAGGTTTTTATTATAATTAGGGAGGGAGCTAACGTGCGCCGCGAAGGGGGAATGGGCGCAGGGTGTTATCCTCCACCAGTTAGTGCGGGTGTACGGGATTGGTGGTGGTGGGGGAGCGGCGGTGGTGATGTGGCGCACCAGTTTGTAAGGGTTGGTGCTGAAGGGAGAAGCCATGGTCAATTTAAGATTGAGACCCGAGACGGGCATGGTCGTAAACTTAGTATCAGAATTGGTAAAGTTTTGTTTTTTGGGGGGTGATTTTGATGTTTTAAAGTGGATATTTTTAGTGTCGGTCTCGGGTCGGCCCTTCGCTGGATGAGAAAGTTTCAGGTGTGACTCATACGATCGAATACTCTTTCATTCGTAACACCTTTTATTAAGTTCTGATTGAAAAATTAAATTCACACGTGTCATCGTGTTAGTGCACGAAAGGACGTATGGCTATGTTTGCTGCCTCACTGGATTTTTCCCTTGCTAGATGGTTATTTATCTGGTTACCCTAACCTTTATATAGATTTTGTCCACCTTTCTCATTTTTTAATTTTTATTTTCACCAAAAAAAGTAGCTTTAGCCTCTCCTTTGATATTTGTTGTTTATATAATAATATCTATTTGGTTGGGTTTATCTACAGTCTATTTATGATAAAAGCTTAAAATTAGAGTTTTTCTCGTGAGCTTAGTTAATGTGTTGAAATTTAAAAAATATCATTATTCCTTTTTATATAAATTTAATGTGGTTTATTCTTATATATTAAAGTCAATTTTAGTAAATTAACACTATAAAATTTCTTTTACAGTTTTTTTTTTGTAACAAGAGTGTTCGGGCCAGTTTATACGTACTTCAACTAATCATCAGAGTCTATTGAACACCTTATAAGCCTAAAATACCAAGTAAGTCATAATGTGGAAGGTAGCCTTAAGATTTGAACCCAATAACTGAATGAAATGAATAAATATTTTTGACCATCAGACCAACCCCTTATGATTAATTTCTTTTACATTTTCCTAACCAAACCACAAACCACCTTTTCATAAAAGTTATATTTTCATAAGTCTTACTCCAATAAGCTCTTTTTTAAGGAGCTATACTCGAATAAATTATATACCAGGACCATGAATCAAGCATATCATATTTATTAAAAAAATTATATGGTTAGTGTTATCTATTATAAGTATTATATTGTTAATTATGTTATCTAAATAGATGAGTATTATTGTTAAGAGTTTTAAATTTATTGAGATCAAGAATTAACGTTTATCTTAAGCATTCTATTCATTAGTTTATTTGCAGTAAGATTCTTCCTCAACTTCTCCCTACTTTATTTGCTTGGGTTGGTATTTTTTTTCTTTATTGCTTTATTAATTTATTGCATTTTAATATATTAAAAATACTATCAAATGTCATCCTTTAATTCTAATGTCATAAGCGTTCAAGGTTGGATTGCGGTCAAAAACCAAACCACCAGGCCACCAACATCCAACAGCCACCTATCCTACCGACACAAATCCACTAAATAAAATGTTTCTTTCTTATTTATCACGTCATTAATCGTTGGATAATCATAAATTGTTTATGCAATTGATTTTTAGCAATTGATAATCTCGTTAAATTTACAAGTTATTGACCTTATAAGTTACAAATTAAGGTTAGCAGGAACAGATTTACTTGAGAGTGTACGGAGACTTCAACCGAAAAGATAGATAGAGGGTTTGGATTTTAAATGGAGTGGTTATAAATAGGAGTGAACATGGGTAAATGGTAGAACTAAAATCGGTCACTAATGGGATCGGTTTCGGTTTTTAAAAATTAGAACCGAGAGTTTCTGGGTTTGATTCTGATTCCGATTTCTACAGTGCTAGAATAGGAATCAGAACCAAGGTCTGGATACCCAAGTAGAAACTGAGACTAAATTGTAATTTTTGTAAACTATTAGAGGTGTATTTATAATTTTTAGGGGTATATTTGTCATTTAAAAAAGTACGGGGTAATTTAAATTAATCCGGGCACCCGAAACCATAATCGGAACCTATGTTTCAAGTTTAGGTTTTAAATCTTAGGAATTGGTTGGTTCTGGTTCTAGTTTCAGTTTCGATTCCTTAAAAAAAATGCTGAGTACCTAGAATCGCTCGTGGTGGCTTGATAGTAAAAGAGTAAAATGAAGTTTTATGAACTTCTGAGTTTGAGTCATTATCAAACATTAATTAAGGTGGTCACTGAGATTTTTATTTGATCGATAATTTTATTATCACGGGGTTAAAAAAAAAAAAAAAAAAAAAAAAAAAAAAGTTGGTTATATTTTGTAGTATACGGCAGAGAGTGAGTGACATTTAACATGTGAATGTGGGCGGTGAATTCGTTAATTATAGTTTAAATAGCACGTTTAATTGCCCACTAGACAATATGCCCATTTTATGCATTGAACCCAGTTTCTTCTGTATAAAGTAACCATAAAGTTTAAGTCACAAGAAAATCGCATACTTTTCATTTATCCACCTTACGGATTACAATGCCCATACCAACCCATATCCCGCAACTATACTTTTTCTTTCTTTTTATCTCATTTTTAATTCCACCAAATAATAACCGATAAATAATCCAACCATACACATTCTTACCATTAATTGTGCGAGGCGGGTATACTATAATCATAAGACAACAAATAAATAAATAAAATAAAATTATTAAATCCAGTCATTTATGACTTAATAATGAGAAATAATTACACTAATAAATTGTGAATTATTAAAGACTTCTAAAGCAAATAAACACTATATGGTCTATATATATTAGAAATTAACAAGCATACAAAATCTTATTATTTGACCAAATTTTATAATGTTGTTACATAATTTCACATGTTTGGAATAAGAATCGTGCAACCTTTTGTAGGTCTAAAATGGTACTATAAATTATGGCACGTTCGGGGCCTACACGTCTGTGAAGTGCACCCATTGAAGGGCGCAATCAAATGAATAGAAGCATGTTGATTTTATTTATTAATAATATTATTATTTTCATAGATAAGATCATGAACAATATGCAGCAGCATCATGCCATGCGTGCACCTTTTTCCCATTTTATTTTGTTTTTAAATTTGTCATTTTCAACAGCATTGCCGACACCAACATCATGACAACCGACTTTCACTTTGTATTAGTATTAATGAAAAATAATCAAGCTAATGATTTCGATTTAATAATAAAAATCCTTATAAATTATTTAGATAATCCTTAAGTACCAAGATATTACCACAACAATAAAAAGATAAATCGATAAATGTTAATTTTGTTATTATTCAAATTATCATGACCTTAACTCAAATTAAACTTTTGAGTAGCGAGTGGTTCGATAAAAACTCTTAGGTGTATTATTTAAGAGGTAATAAATTCGAGTTCCTTTCTCGATTGCTAGTAGGAGTGAACAATAGTTCCTTCTCGATTACTAATATGAGTAAAATTAATTGAGATACGTATAAGCTGATCGAACACTCCTAATCCTTTAAACAAAAAAAAAAAAAAAAAAAAAAAAAAACCTCAAGCGTTACCTCATTTCATTTGTCATTACTCAAAAATTTAAAATTAAAATTAAAGGAATAGTTAAATAAAGTTTTCTTTGTTTGATAATTACGGATCTATATTTATAAAAATTTTAAATATATATACTTATAAAAAACAATAAGGTTTTACTCAATCTCCCTGCCTCTTTCCAAATCTTTTATTATGGAACTCCGTGCAAGAAATGAAAAAAAATTCACCCACATGTAATAATAATGCGACGCTAATCTCGCCCTTTGCATGTGACGTGCCCTCCGTTCTCTATCTCTATCTCTCTCTCTCTTACACTTCTTCACTCAACTGACCAAATCCACAGTTCTTCTTCACTCAGTTTTACTACTCAAAAACTAGGAGCCAAGAAGAGACTCGTTTCTCTCTCTCTTTCTCTCTCATTTCAGTTGCAGAAAATCAAGGAATATCGCTAGATCTTCAGCGAGAAAACAGACTCGTAATTGAACGACCAATCAAATCCATCCACGTTATCCTTAATGAAGACCTTCACCGCCACCAAACCTATTAATCCTCTCGTCACTTTCGAACACAAGAGGTATGTATGAATGTATGGGTGTATTAATGTTATTCTCTTCACTACCGCCGTCTCTCTCCTCTCGCCACGCGTCCTATTTTCCTAGGGTTTTTCGCTTTTTTTGTTTTTTTTCTCTTATCAATTATCATTCTTTCGTATAAAAAACAATGTATTTGCGCCTTTGATCACATCGATCGTAACTTTCACTGTGAATTTTGACTATTTGACTCCGATTTATGCGTGCTTCTTGATATATATATATATTTTTTTAGATTTTGTGTTACTGTCTGCACATTTTAACTGGATTTGTTTTTATTGCTTCGATCACTTTGATTTTTAAGTTTGGACTGAAAATCTTGGAAATTTTCCAAGGAGTTTGTGTGCGTTGTCCTACATTTTGGTTATGTATGTTTACTCGAATTAGCCGCGAATTTACTTTGATTTGATTAGATCTTGAAACGGCTTCGGATTAGTGATCTCGATTTGATTGTTTGTGATGTGATTGGATTTGATTAGTGTTAGTGGAGTTTGGTTTATTGGGCTTATCTTAGGATTGTGAGTGTGAAATGTGGCATGGTTTCTAGTAAATTGAATTTGAGTAAATTTAGTTCCAAATGGCAAGTGATTTGGGAAGTAGAGTTTTGGTAATGAGTGGAATATGTTGACTTATGTGAATCGGAGCTCTTTGGAGGCCGATTGCAGGTAACTGGACTTGGATTTCTGCGTGAAATTTCGTTTAGTTTGGTTTATGATTGATGGTTTTGGGCTTTGTGCTTTATATTAATTAATACTCGATTGAGATTCGACCGTGGACTACTATGTTGCCAATGAGACTCCACCGTTCCATGGAATTAAAAGAAATTGTTTTGGTTTGGCAGGGATGCTTATGGGTTTGCAGTGAGACCACAGCATGTACAAAGATATAGAGAGTATGCAAATATTTACAAGGTCTTTTTCTGCCACTCTTAATTCTTTCGTCAAGTTTATTGTTATTTCATTTAATTTCAGAGTGTTTAATTTGTTTGGGATATTAATGCTAAAGAGAGCAAAATAAGATTCTGAGAAATTTAATATTTTTTTTTTTTGGTTATAGTTTTTTAAGTAACAGTGAACATTTTTTTTTTTTTTAATGAATAATACTATAATAGTTGCAAAAAGTGCCATACTAAGTACTGGAGATTTGACCATGAGACAATTTGATTTTAGAGGTCATAACTGAAGGATACTTGTGGTTGAGAAGTTGGATATAATATGTCCTCTTCCTTTTTATGACCAGAAACCAATATGAAGTTGAACAAAATTGAAATCCAACAAATAAAGAAACTGACATATTCTGTTGATATACATGGTACTAGGAGGAAGAGGAGGAAAGATCAGACAGGTGGAAGAGCTTCTTGGAGCGGCAAGCAGAGTCAGCTCAATTGCCTGTAAATGGGTTATCTTCTGAGGAAGAGAACAAAACATTGCATACTGAAGCTGAGGGGGAAGTAGCTTGTGATAATCAAGAGAAGGTTGTTGAAGTAGATGATGCAAGTATCAAGAAGCCCGATTCAGACAGCTCCCCCGAATATGGTGAAGAAAAGGAGGAGATACAGTCCACACCAGGGAAAAAGCCTCATAGAATCCTAACATGGACTGAGATTAGACCATCACTTCGTAGCATTGAAGAAATGATGAGTATGCGTGTAAAGAAGCAAGGCAATTTATCAAAAAACGAAGAGACTGGAAGAGGGAAGCCTTCACCTCCTATTGATGAGGTTAAATCCTTGAAAGGAGCTTCAGAGGAGGACTCTGAGGATGAGTTTTATGATGTGGAGAAGTCAGATCTGGCTCAGGATGGCCCCTCAAGTGATAGTGTAACTGCCCCTGCCACTGGTTCTATTGCTGCTGATGCTGCCCCTCTAGAATCTGTATTTCCTTGGAAAGAAGAGTTGGAGGTCCTTGTTCGTGGGGGAGTGCCAATGGCTCTACGAGGAGAGGTATGCTGTGCACTTTTGAGCTCTCTCATATTTTTCTCTCATAAGCTTCAGTTTCTTGGATGACATGCATCTTAAGTCCTTGATGCTTTCAATTTAGCTTTGGCAAGCATTTGTGGGTGTAAGGGCACGCCGAGTGGAGAAGTACTACCAGGATTTGCTTGCTTCGGAAACTAAGTCTGGCAATAACACTGAAGAAAATAGCTCGCTGTCTGACAGCGATAGTAAGAGTTCAACTACAGATTCTGTCCGTGTGCCCGAGAAATGGAAAGGGCAGATTGAGAAGGTCATTGCAAATGCAATGTTTTCAGTTTTAATGCTCAGTGTCTTCAGTTTGTGGGTTCTACTTTCTTTTTTTTTGTATTGCACATTCAAGTTTTCTAACTTTGATATTGGATATGAATGCAGGATTTGCCTCGAACATTCCCAGGCCATCCTGCTCTCGATGATGATGGTAGAAATGCTTTGAGGCGGTTACTCACAGCATATGCTCGACACAACCCTTCTGTTGGGTACTGTCAGGTATATGTTTTGAAGTCGGTTATGTGTTTTCTTAATCATGCTCATGGTATTCCTGGAATGCTGTATGCGAAAAGGGTGAAACATTACCTTATATTTTTGTCTAAATGCAGCACAGGTGAAATATTTATGAGTATTTGAAAGTTTATACCACCCAATGCACAATTTACATGAGACACTTGTTCTGCAAAATATTTCCTCTTTTACAATTATTTTCAAGTTTTTTTGGTTGCCTCGAGATGTAAAATTTTTAGGTCTATACTATTTTCATGGTCAAATAAGCAATTGTTCTCACCTGGAGACTTTTCTAATTCTTTACCATTCAGGCCATGAATTTCTTTGCAGCACTGTTACTTCTGATGATGCCTGAAGAAAATGCCTTCTGGTAGGTTTAGTAACTTATTTATATTATACTTATTATATCACTACCTTCTTCACTCTCTTGAAGGAATGCATCATGTTATGCTTTCTCTCTTGCATTTTCTGCATTCTTATCATTATTAATAGTAACTGCTTTGTTGCCTATATGTACTTCTAAAAGAATAAATAGTGTTCTAGTCCAGTTTGAATGTGTAGTTCTGGAATCAAAATGATCATCAAAATATATACTATAATCATCACTTTTGCTTCCCCTCTTTGTTGAAACATCATACTAATTCTTTTCCAGTTGGCAAGAGGCTTCTGAACTAAGAAATATAACTGTATTGACCATATCTGCTTTTAAATTATGGTAAAATTCTCAGGGCATTAATGGGCATTATTGATGACTATTTTGATGGTTATTACTCTGAGGAAATGATAGAGTCTCAGGTAATGGTTGCCATCTCTCTCCTTTCACATGTTAGCTGTTTCTTGTATATGTGCCTTCTCTTCCAACAAGACATATTAAAGAGGTTAAGAACATCATTCAACAGTTACTGATGGGTATTAGATGGGCTCGTTTTGTTTTGTCAGGTTGACCAGCTTGTTTTTGAGGAGTTGGTGCGTGAGAGATTTCCTAAATTGGGTTTGTTTATAACTTTATTTATCTAATTTGTCATTGATTTTGCATATTCTCAAATGGCTCTTTGCATGAGCTTGTTTGGTGGTTTTCTGATGTTACATTAATATTTGGTGCAGTCAATCATCTGGATTACCTGGGAGTGCAGGTAGCATGGGTTAGTGGACCGTGGTTCCTATCCATTTTCATGAACATGCTTCCATGGGAAAGTGGTCAGGTTTTATGCTGTATCTTTTATTATTTTAGCCTCATAATAGTAAACTTGGTTTTTGAAAATGCATCATAAAATTGATTTTATTCCCCTAAAAGTGGTCTTAGACTTGATTATTTCACCAATTTATGATTTTTGTATACATAATTGACAGTGGTGTAATTTCTTAGTTGCAAGTTTCCTTTTAATTTGAAGACTTTCACTGATTGCAGTTCTTCGGGTCTGGGATGTGCTACTTTTTGAAGGAAACCGTGTCATGCTTTTCAGAACAGCACTTGCTTTGATGGAGTTATATGGTACTGGATAAAGAAATATCCGAGTTTCTGGGTTCATGTGATGCATTATGGAACATGAACTAAAACCCATTGGCTGGTTTGCTTTATGAAACTTAATTTTGCTTAGTTACTTGTAGGCCCTGCATTAGTTACAACTAAGGATGCTGGAGATGCAGTTACTTTGCTTCAGTCGTTGGCTGGCTCAACCTTTGATAGCAGTCAACTTGTATTGACAGCTTGCATGGGTTTCCAAAATGTAAATGATAGCAGATTACAGGAGTTGAGAAACAAGCATCGGCCAGCTGTAATAGCTTCTGTTGAGGAAAGATCGAAGGGGCTTCAAGCTTGGAGGGATTCTAAGGGTCTAGCATCTAAGCTATTTAATTTTAAGCAGGATCCCAAATCAATGCTGACAGAAACAAATAAAGGAGCACGAACAGATGATACACAGACAAATGGTAATCTATCTCGTTCAGAGTCTGGATCCACAAATGTAGATGAAGTTCTCATTAACCTTACAGGAGATGTGGAGATAGATTCTGTTCCAGATCTTCAAGATCAGGTAGGTTATATGCTTTCTCCTACTTTTGTGCAAAATGTTATTCTCCATCTTTGAGAGTTAAGAAGTTAAACATCCCATTTTCTATATATTAATGCTTGGCAAGGACATTAACTTACATAATTACTAGAGACTTATAAGGGCTAGTTTGCATGTCAGTTCTTAGGACTACACCTTGAAAAGGATTACATGAATCTGTAGTTTTTAAATTGATGTCAGGGAAAATGGAATATGTTATTTTGATTTTAAAATATTCATTGGTGATTGTTGTTACTTCTTTTTCCCATGATAAATAACCTCTCAATGAAGACCAAACAAAAGGTTATGCATGCTCGGGGTCATTGAAGCAGTATATGTGAGGGTGAAATGAAAAGTTTTGAACCGAGTAATTTGCTGTGATTTGATTTTAGGAATTTTGTCTTAGATTGATCGGTTACACTAGTTATCTATCATAAATTTGGGAGGAGTAAGAATGGGGGCTCTGAATTTATTTCCTAATATCCTTTCCAGCAATACATTTGATTGAAATCTTGAAAGCATGGATTTTATACTTCCTTAGGTAATTTAAAATTTAAACATTGTAGTTAGATGGTAAACTAAAGCACTTCTCTTACACTATACTTATTTTAATTTTGTATTGACTTGCAGGTGGTGTGGTTAAAAGTTGAATTATGCAAATTACTGGATGAAAAAAGATCTGCTTTACTCAGGTTCGTGTTACGTGCTATCTGAAAATTTATTATGATACTGACAGCATCTGTACATAAGGTTCTTTTGTTTTGGTGGTTTTTAATATGCCTATTGTTAGTTAATTGTTTATAGTATTTCTTAGCTGCTCCATGATATAGTTGTATTGATCTCATTATTCTGTGATTCTTAGCTGCTCTATGCAAGTCAGAGGTGCTTTACCTGAGGGTTTTCTGATAAGGACCTACACTTGGGAATTAAAATCCTGAAAAATGAAATCTGGCAGTTAATTGCTGTAGGTGTATTCTATTATGGAACATAAGAAGTCCCTTGGTCTCCCATCTATGATCTAGAAGTTACAATAACTTTCATCAGTGCAATATCTATGTTTTTTAATCAATTCACGTTTTTCATTCTAAGTTAGACATTTACATGTATGTCTCTTCTCCTTTTGGTCAGAGCTGAGGAGCTGGAGACAGCTTTGATGGAGATGGTCAAGCAGGATAATCGGCGACAGTTGAGTGCAAGGGTACATCCAATACACTTTAACCATTGGAAGTTTTGCTTTGTCTTGATATATGATTGTTATTCTTGCTATATGTTTCTGCCTTTTATTTAATCTCGAAGTTTTATCGGGAACCCCTTGCTAATATGACTTCAGAAAGGCAACACTTCTCTCTCTGTGCACATGCATGCACAGCATCTTATGTGTGTGTTCTGTGGAGGGGTTGAATATATAAAGAACTGTGATTTTTTTATTCCAATATTGTGGTGAGAATTCTCAACTGGTCAAATATGTAAACATTTAGTTTTAACTTCATAGCATGTAAATTGGATTCATTGTAATTGTGAATTGAAATCATGAAAGGGAAAAAAAAGCGTGAGCATATCAAAAGGTAAAGAAAAAAAAATAGTGGGGGAACAGACAGTTGATTCTTTGTAGTAGCTAGACTTTCCTTCACTCAATTATATTGCACTCTTAGTTTCTTCTTTTGATCTTTAGGTTGAGCAATTAGAGCAAGAGGTTTCTGAGCTTCGGAGGGCCATTGCTGACAAGCAGGAACAAGAAAGTGCTATGCTCCAGGTACTTTTTTACTTCACTTTCAATTGCTATCTACTTTAGGAAATATCATTCTTCTCTTGTGATTGGCTCGTCATGATAACTTTGTGATCACTCAAAAATTTTGAAGGTGTTAATGCGGGTAGAGCAAGAACAAAAGGTAACAGAAGATGCTCGCAGATTTTCTGAACAAGATGCAGCAGCCCAGAGATATGCTGCTCAAGTGCTTCAGGTGCTTAATTTGATTTGAAATTTCTGATGATGCTATCTTATGGTAGGCACTTATTATAAGATATTGGTAAACTAGCTAGTTTTTGTTTTATTATAAACTTACATCTTTATTTGATCTTCTTTAAACTATCTGGGGTTCTAACAAGAATCCCATTCATTTTTTTATTGGTATGTGGGGCTGTAATCAACCATTCTAAGGTCTCTCTTTGTTTGGGCTATTTGAAAGTTATCAACTTGTATTTACGCAGGAAAAATATGAAGAGGCCATGGCTTCGCTTGCAGAAATGGAAAAAAGAGTGGTTATGGCAGAATCAATGTTGGAGGCTACCTTGCAGTACCAATCCGGCCAACTGAAAGCGCAGCCTTCTCCAAGGTGTGTAATATATGGCCTTCCAGCATTATTGTTCTCCTTGACAAAATTTTATCAATCTCTATCTTATATTCTCAGTCTATTGTTCTATTCCTGTGAAAGGACTTGATTATTGGCGTGTTCTATGTGCGCCTTTATGGATAAAATTTGTAATCTAATGAATGGTATGCATTGTAGATCTCCTCATCCAGAGTCAAAAGGCAATCAAGAACCCATGCCAGAACTGCCTGGAAGGAAGATTAGTTTATTAGCTCGACCTTTTGGACTTGGCTGGCGAGACCGGAACAAGGTTAGTTTATCCATGCATATGAAGGGTGAAAGTTCCTTGTTATAGCAACATATTAAAATAAGTAGGATTGATCTATATCATGCATGTTTTCATTCAACTTTGTTGCATGCAGCAACAGGGAAAACCTACTAGCACAGATACACCAACGGATGCCAAGTCTTCTGATATAAAGTTGTCGGATGAGGGGCAGAGTCAAAGCAGCCCACTGAAAGAAACAAGCAGCCCGCAAAAAGAAACAAACGGTAATGGTGTCGAAGTACAAGAGTAAAGAAATGCAAGTCTATTATGGCGTGATAATCTGATACCTCTATATATATATCCATCTTTTGATCGTCCAATTCTTATATTCCATTGGTTTTGAAGATATTTTTCCTGTGGCAGAGGGTAGAAAATTTACTTGTCTGTAATTTTTGACTAGTGAGAACCAGTACAAAAGCTCATATCCATTAATTGGCCGTTTGTTCATTAAGTAGAGAAGTAATAATAATATAGTTTAGTGAAGAATGAATGTAAGAAGAAACGATGAGATGATAGTAAAACAATTGTATAATCTTTTCATTCTTGTATCCTTTCATTAATGATTACTTTTCTTCTCTAAAATAATTGGTTTTACATGTGTTTTTCAAAGAAATGTATCGAGTCAGATACTTTTATGTTGATCCGTACAATCTCTCGTACGATTTTCTTTCAAACATGAGATGAGTAATTAATTATTCAAATAACTTTCTGGTCGGGGTATTCTGATATTGTATATATTCGTAGTTGGACGAATGAATTCAATGGTGAATAAGTATGGTCTTGATAGCGTTAATATCTGAATGTACTTATTAGAGAATTACTTGTAGCAAACAAATCCCCAAAGTCTTTTTATCTATTTTTTTCAAGTTTGTTCCGTCTATCTATTTGAATTTGTTTTAAGGTCGGACCCATTTGAATTTGAATGTGAACCTGAGGGAACAATTGGAGTTGTTATGACTTATGAGGTAAAATATTGGTAAATTCACACACCCTGTGCTTGCTTGGAATTCAAATTTGTTTGTTGATTTCTGATCCAGGGAACTACACAAACCCAATTTGTGCTGGCGAGATCATGAAATGAAATTTCCACATTCTTGCCAAAAAAAAAAAAAAAAAGGCAATAAGGTATGTCAGAGAACCAGTTTTTACAAAAGCTAAAAGAAGCAATCAAGAGGGAGGGGAGACGTCGGATAATTATTTTTTGAGTAACATTATACTACAAAGTGACGTGACAATATTCTTGTATTATCGTATTATTCACTATCATTTAATATATATTTATTTATTTAATTTTTTAATATTATTTTATCTAATTATATTTTGACACGTTACTTTACATGAAAGATTTTATATAAAATATTTATAAGTGTAGTATTATTGTTATTAACTTATACAAGACATTAAATAGGAAAATAAACATCTCAAACTCTACAAAACCCCTATGCCCCAAACAACCGTTTAGTCACCATTCGTCGGCTGAGAAGTTTGTGTTCATTGCGTTTTTTGGAGCTGTCGTGGCCAAAAGGGGGGGGGGAGGGGAATGGGAATCAAACGGTGTTGGTGGTCGGGGTTGTTGCCGCTCAAAACAGCCAGAAATTGGCCAAAAAAACAGTCACACGATGCAGCTGCCAAGGTTGACTATCGGGAAGTGATGAGGGGTACCAACTTGAATTTGTTGGGTGGGAATATGTTGTTTACGCTTCTTTTTTTAAAAGTTTCTTCCCTCAATCTATTTGAAATTGTTTTAAGGTCGGACCCATTTGAATTTGAATGTGAACCCGAGGGAAAAATTAGAGTTGTTATGAGGTAAAATATATCCAATTAGTTTAGGATTCCTGATAGGATAGTTGGTAAATTTAAATTCACACGCCCGGTGCTTGCTTGGGATTCAAATTTCTTTGTTGATTTTCTGATCCTGGAACTGCACAAACCCAATTTGTGATGACAAGATCATGAAAGGAAATTTCCACATTCTTGCCAACAAAAAAATAAAAAGATAAAAAAAGAGGGGGCAATAAGGTAAGTAAGAACTACTTTTTACAAATTTTACAAAAGCTAGAAGAAGCAATCAAGAGAGAGGAGAGACGTCCTATAATTATTTTTTGAATAATATTATACTTACAAAGATTTATACAATTATTTTTTGAATAATATTATACTTACAAAGATTTATACAAAATGACGTGACCATATTCTTGCATTATCATATTATTAATTATCATTTAATATATATTTATTTACTTGATTTTTTATATTAGTTCATCCAATTATATTTTGACACGTTATTTTGTATGAAAGACTTTATATAGAATCTCTATATAAGTGTAGTATTATTGTTATTAACTTATACAATACACTAAATAGGAAAATAAACATCTGTGCATCAAATCAAGATAAATGTAGTCAATCCATATTAAAAGATTATACCTACAAACATATATAAATGTATTCTCTTTATGGGGAGACCAGTTTCTTTATAGAAGATATTTAGATACAAAGCCCCAATCTCAAATGTACATACAAAAGAAAAGAAGAAACAAATGTAGAGGAGGAATGGCAGAGAAAGGGCTAAAAATTAAACCAGAATTGAAAGAGATAAAAAAGAATCTTCGGTTATACCAGACATTAGACCTGGCCATTGCACCTGCTATCCGGAGTAACGCAAAATTTGATAAGCAGGCACCGTAACAGCTACAGCCGCAAACTGTATACTGCTGAACTTCAATGCAACAACCTCCGCAAGTATAAACGCGGTCTGTGGAGACATCCTGGAGTAGTGTCACAGGTAACAGATTGACAGCAATTACTATCATGGACTTCTGAGGACTGAAATCTGTTTGATGCTCTCGGCTATCCAACTATTTCACTGTTCCCTTCTGGTTCTGGGGGTGGAAGAGCTTGGGCGGGAGGTCTGGACTGGTGGCTGCGTTTCGGGATCATACTTTTGACAAGCAAGATAGGAAAGGGCAGTGACTACATCAGCAATGAGGGGTCGCATATTAGGCTGTTCCTGAACACACATTGCAGCAACAGCAAGAGCTTGATATAAACCTCTCACTGGATATTGGCCTTGGAGCATTGGGTCAGCCATCTGTGAGAATTTCCTTCTATCTTTGAACAAGGGCCGCGCCTGCAACATCAAAACAGCATTTAAAAAAGATTAAGAAAATGAACCATCCTTTTGATGAATTCAAAATTCTGTTAACTAGTCGCTAATGTTCTTCATTTAAGGTCATTTGGCTGTTTTAGTAAACGTCATTGCTGAAGAACAGCCAAAATATCAATGTCAGCAATTGGTCATACTCTGATGGATGTCAACATTTAATTAAGAATGTGGCAACACCACAATTATTCTCACTCCATGGTCTCTTCACTATCATTTATACTACAGGTAGAAACCCATAAGAAATGATTTTAAAAACAAAAGTTTCAAACAGAGGAAAGAGAGAACTCTTACCCATGCAACCAGATTGTGTTCCCCAGCAGCTCTTGAATTGTCGATGGCTTTTCTGCCAGTTATGATCTCAAGAAGAACAACTCCGAAACTATAAACATCTGATTTCAGGGTAAGCTGACCAGTCATGGCATATTCAGGGGCACAATATCCATAGGTTCCCATCACTCTGGTGGAAACATGGGTCTTATCACCAACAGGGCCCAATTTAGCTAAGCCAAAATCAGATAGCTTCGGATGATAGCCATCACCAAGTAAAATGTTTGAGCATTTCAAATCACGGTATATGACAGGGGGGCTAGCTTTGTCGTGCAAATACTCCAAGCCATTTGCAGCACCTGCAGCTATTTTCATTCTTGTATTCCAGTCCAATTGTTTCTTATCTGGCGGCAGATCTGAAACAAACAAGCATGCAACAAGAGAAGTTGCTGAAAAAACTAAACGGAATGATACTAAACAAAATGATAAAATAAGAAACGGAATCTAGAACCTGTGCCTCAGACAACAGACATGGGTTTTTTAAGCACCATAAGTTAACATGTGATATGAGTAGCAGTGGTATCGGCAATTTATACCACCAATAACTTTTCCCTATGCATGAAAAGTATATATCATAATTCATGGTTGAGTAAAATTGGATCCTCCACGTAAAAATATTTATCAAACTTCATTAAGAACAAAAAATATTTTTTACATTTGAGATTTCTAGTGCCCAAACGTTTACAATGAAAAACTAATTTATGAGACATAAGACACTTTAAAGACCAAAATGCTAGTAGTTCAGATATTTGGACATGAATATCGGCCCATAATCTGATACATACCGTGTAGATGGTCTTCCAATGATCCCAATGGCATGTATTCATAGACCAAAAGTCTCTGATCACCATCAGCACAATAACCAATTAAGTTCACGAGATTAGGATGGTGAAGCAAGCTCAACATCAAAACTTCGACGAGGAATTCCCTATTTCCTTGTAGCCCATTACGATCCAGCTGCTTGATAGCTACAACCTGAGCCAGACCAAGCAATAAAATTCATGTCTTACCACAAGCAAATTTGTATGGTTTAAAACATTTGAAAGATACTGATTGCAATAATAACAAATATAAATTGAGATTGGCACAAGGGAAATTGTCCAAGCTTATAAACAAAGTCAAGCACATTTGAACAAGTATCCTTCTATTCCAGCCTTAAGTGAATAATTTTTAATGGAATTCTTCATAAATCTTCCCCTTCCATAATTTGTCTGCCTATAAGACATTGCACAATGTTTTGTGGATAATTTGTACATAGCTAAATAGGAAAAGAGATTGAAAATTGAGTACTAATTTGGAAATGCTTCATAATTTTGCTAACCCTTTTCATTTCCAAATTGCAATTACTATGCTTTAAAAATAGAGCTGCTTTTGGAAATTCAGGTAAAGATAGTGCGTTGAGCAGATTGATCTTTGAACATCATGAAACAAATTATCACCCAATATACCCTTGGTAGAGCTGGAAAAAATTGGATCAATAATGGAGGTGACATGGGAGATCATGGTGTTGATATTTGGTTATCAACAACACAGTGGTACAGTGGAGTATAGATAGAAGAGGCAGTTTTGGTAATCCCTAAGAAGAGGTGATGAAAGGGCATGGTAGTTGAAAGAAATAAGAAAACAAAAAGGACAAAAACTGGTAATGAAAAATGCAGAAGCACAATTCATGGATAGATACAAGTGCTGCAGAGAAGATGAGATTGCAATTACCTAAGGCTTGTTGTAAAATAATTTAGAAAACAAGGAACAAAATAGAAAACCTGAGACGTGTTATAAAAACTGTCCTTAAGGATCATTTCGCCACAACAAATATTTCAAGAATGTGAAAATCCCCCAGGATTTAACAGGTTCTTCTGAAATAAATTCCAGGTATACAAAACAGTAAGAAATTTTAATTAACCCAGAGAAGAAGTACGGAGGGGAAGACTGATAAATGATCTAATTGAGAGATCAAATAACTCTTTTTATTATAACGTTACAACAACATTGTGATTGAGTAAAGATAGGAGAAAGATAAGGCTACGTTATAATAACATTGTGATTGAGGAAAGATAACGCTTATGATCTTCATGAAGAAGTCAAGGATAATGCTAACTCCAACCGTTAGTAAAACTCCTTGCTAAAGTTTAGGAATAATTGGTCAAATGGAATAAAAAATAATAACAGTCCTCAAAATTCTTTTTGAAATACCAATAATAATTCAACAAGGCTTATATAACATAAAGAAGAGGATAAAGTTTTCTGCCAATGGCTGGTTTGAGATATAATATAACAGCTGCCGCTAGGATCACAATACCAGTTGATATAGGAGTGACCATTATAAATATGGGTGAGGATGTGGGATACGTAAGATAAAGGAATGTTAATATGAAAATTCTTGAAAATAAATTAACAAACCTGATTGGTACTCTCCAATCGGCCTTTATATACTCGGCCAAAACCTCCTTCACCCAATAGGCAATCTGCCCTAAAATTCTTTGTTGCAGCTGCCAACTCACGAAATGTAAATGTATGTGCCGCAATATGATCAGATCCTCCATCCTTAGAGTTAGAGCCTTCCTTCTTTACATCCAATGTTGAATTTACCTTCAGTTTATCTGAAGTCACATTAAACCAAGAATGAAATAAAACTGCTAAACCAATTTGCGAAACATGATACACAATACTATCATGACAGCAAAAGCCACATGTGGATCTTCATTCAAAAACATTACAATAGGAAATAGCCAAGACAATTGCAGATAAAATGTTTTTTTATCACACAATACAAAAAGAAAAAGAAAAAAAACCTCATATTCATAATTAATAATGCTCACTACTTCCATCAACACCGTTTATTACAGGACACTGATGAAACACGAATGCTTTCTGACTGGGTGGAATCCCTAACATATTTTTGCAAGGCAAACTATCTTTCCCTAACTCAAACTTCACTAAGAACCAAAAATAATTAAAATCAATGTGCAACAAACATTAAGTTGACCCAAGTAGAACTATATTTATAACTTGCACAATATGCAAGTGTCCAAAGAAATGAAACTGAAAGCACCTAAAAGGGTTAAATCGCATATGGAATCAAGCGTTCCATGCTCCTTTACAAAAAAAATAACATAAATAAGCACAATTCAAATTTCATAAACAGGTATGACCAAAGAATTGAAATTTTGAACAATTGAAATCCAAATGCCAACTCAAAAAACATCAATCATTAACAAGTATCAATAGAAACCAATCTTAAATTAATATATAAAGAAATAAAATTCCTGCAAGCCCGAGATAAAAAATTATCTTTTCACTACACTTTAGATTAGAAGCAGACCCACGGAGCTTAAATAAAGTAATAAACAAGCATCAACAAAGAACATTATCCTCAAATCATAACCACAACATTCAAAGCAGATCAAAACATGGAAGCAAACCCAGAAAAGACTGATCAAAACAGTCAAGCAAATGAACTTAATTTCCTTATCAATCCAAACCATGCGCAAAAACTAACCTCAAAAAGCATAAAACAAAAATTCAAAAGTAATCAAAATTAGTTAAGAGAGTTGTTGATATAAACATAAATAAATGTACCTGAAGTTGACGGGATCTGATCGTCAGGCTTTTTATTTAGCTTCTTCTTTGCATTTTTATTTGATTTTCCACCGCAAGGAAACCAACCCATCACTTAAAATTCAGTCCTTAACCTCAAGAGTTTCACTCCAGAGAGAGAACAAAAGCAAAGCAAACACCACTCAGGACACACAGACAGCACAGAGAGAGATAGAGTTAAAATTCAGACACAGTGCTATGCTATTAAGTATATATCTTTTCATTCGGTTGTCTTTTTGCACTTGTGCCCTTGTGTCTTCTTAAATTGTAAAATTACCTTAAAACTTTTTATATTCTTCCACATACTAAACACCTGCAAGTTTTTATACATAGGGAATGAAAAATAGGGTTCGGGTTTTATTAAACTTAAACAAAACCAATTTAAATTGGGCTGGTTCAATTCAAGTTAATTGATTTAATTTTATATAAGATTACTTTTTTTAAGCATTTAAGCATTTTACTTTTAAATTTGATTAATTTTTCTAATCGAAAGTTTATTGAATTTCGATTATAAATCCTAATGATATAGGTTATTCACTTCAATAATTTTATAATCAGTACATATAATAGGTTTATTCATGATAAATTTATTTAAAATATTATATAATCAATATATAATACAATTCAGTTTAGATTTTTTGGGTTGAAAAATAAACTCAAAAGTAATTGTTTATATTTTTATTTAGTTCGATTCGATTTTGCATTTTAATATTCTTAAAACTCAAACTGTCACTTGGCCTGGTTCGGGTTTTTTGGGTTAGGTATTTTTGCACACCCTTAACTTAATGATGTAGGCCGTTTACAAAATTCTGTAGGGTTAGAAAAGATAGTATTTCATGTAAATTGATAAAATTTTGTAAACTCACTTCTTTTGGGGTATAATAGAAAATATTTAAAAGTGCAATACCAAAAACACAAATTCATTTTTTTCTGCTGAAATTCCTTTATTACAAACCAAGCATCACCACTAGGGCACTGTTCATACTGAAAAGACAATATTAACCTCACATCAAACCGAATGTTCATCTGAAACTGGATGTCTTTTGTCAACTCATATTAACCACCGAAAACCTCCAGAAAGGTGCCCAAAATAAACCCGTTTATTTAAAAACTAAAAATAGAGACGTTTTATTCATTTAAAACCAACAAAATTTAGGAAATCTCAATTATATCAATATTCACCTGATCAGTCTAATTATACCTTTAAATTAATGTTTAAATATAGTAAAATGAAATTGTTTTTATTGTAACATTATAATTAGATTATTAAAAATTAATAGCTTTATTCTAAAAAATAAAAAATAAAATATAAAAAATTCCTATTTTGGCTGCGCCTTTTAGCGGTAAAATCGAGGGTTTGAAAGAGCTATTTCTATGGATGTGTGTTTTAAGGGCTATTATTTAAACTTTAAAGAGTAAACAGCAGTTTCCCACCCAAGGTTTGGCGAATATCGTTTCCACCCCTGGTTTCATAAATTACAATCCCCACCCTTAAATTAACACCGTTACTTTTCTTTCAAAATAACCCCCACATCTCAAATTTCTCTCAAATAACCCCCAGAGATCTTGGCCAAGCCAAAAATTCGGCTTGATTCCAGCACCATTAGACCTCCTCGACACCACCATCAACATCCCCTTATCCTCCTCACCAAAACCCCTAACTTTTCCACCCGATTGCACCTCGGTGAGGTGCTGGAATTTGGTTGAAAAGGCGTGATAAAACGTAAAAACCTAAGGGAGAGGCGGCGGTGATGGACGACCAATTGCAATCGAATATATTAGGGGTTTGGTGGGGGGAAGCTGGTGATGCTATTGGTGGTGTTGGGGGTGGTTTACGGTGTTGGGACCTGCCAGAATTTGGATGAAATGCTGACTGAAACTAAGAGCGGCGGCCGACGATTGCGGGGGTTCGATCAAGTGGGGAGGTTAGGTGTTTTGATGTGGGGGTTGAGGGGATTGTAATGGCGATGTCGAGAGAGGTCAACTGCGCCGGAAACAGGCCGGAATGGCCTGAAATCGCCAATAGGGTGAATTTGAAAAGTGAAGGATTATTTTAAAAAATTTGACGTGGTGAATTTGAGAAGTGAAGGGTTATTTTGAAATTTTTATCTTTGAAATTACCATTTTACTGTGAAGGGTTATTTTGAAATTTTTATCTTTGAAATTACCATTTTACTCTTTTAACTGTTAGAGTAAATAGTTTCGATTAATTTAAGGGTGAAAACTTACAATTCACCAAACCTTGGGTGGGAAAATGTCGCTTGCTCTTATTTAAACTATATTTGGGTTCATAGAAGTTTGTAAAAACAGAAAAAAGCCGTAATTTATCATCTTATATGCATTTCTTTTGAGGAGAGATGTAGGGCGCACCAATGAACGGTGCACCTTATATAATATGGGCCACTAAACCTACTCCATTTTCTAGAAGAATGGTTAGAAAAATTATTCAAAAAATATTATATTTAAATAGACTTTTTTTTTTTTTTTTTGTTAATAAACAGAGATGTCTGAGTCAACTTACATATAAACTCAACTAATCTTTTGGGATCTTAAAACTATCGATCAAGTAAGAGTTTCAGTATGACCCTTATTGAGGATTGAGATGAATCGAACTTAGAACCTCTTAAGTGATATATTCAAGAGTCTTAGTTGATCACTCGGCTACTTGTATGATAGTTAATAGACTTTAATTCTTGACCAATACTCTTTGTAATTTTGATGAGCAGGGATGTTCGAACCAACTTATGTGCACCTCAATTAATCTTCAAGACCCTATAACTATTGGTCAGATAAAGACTCTGGTGACTATCTCTATTAACATTTAAGGAATAACTCAAACTTAGGACTTCTTAAGTAATACATTTAAGAGTTCTATCAAACCGCTCGATACTCAAAGGTAGTTAATAATAAGAAATTAACTCTATTATACATTGGAACATTATATAATAAGAGTGATGAATGTTTAATATAAAGGGCATTTTCGTCATTATATTCTAATATACCTACAGTTGGGATCGTTAAAGTTTTCTAACGTGTTGTTTTTTTAAAAAGCCCCTTCAAAATGACTACTTATAATATATCCCCTTATTATATCAACTAATAGTGCGAAACCCCAATTCAAAACCCAAACCCTAAACCCACACCAGTGCCATTAAAATTCAAATTTTGTCTAAAATGAACAATCCAGCGTTGAATCTGCTGGACAAAGCTTTAGGATTAGAGCAACAGAGTGAAGCATGGCCACTGAGTCGGCGAGTCTTGGTGATCCAGGACTGCGTCGAGACAAGCGGCTCGTTCGTGCTTCACCAACTCATGAAACGCGCTCTCTCTTCAAATTCATCGAATGTTATCATCTTCGTCGCCTTCTCCAATTCCTTCTCTCATTACGATCGCATTCTCCGTAAACTCGTAAGTATTGGGGCGTGCTTGGCTCTGTGTGTTTGAGTTTTAATTGGATAAAAAAATGCGTTTTAATGTTATTAATGTTTTGTTATGTTGTTGTATTAGGGGTGCAATTTAGTCACACAGAGGGATAATAAGCGCTTCTTTTTCTTTGATATGCTTATGCTTCAGTGTACAGGTGAGAAAATTCAGGTAAAATTTGTTTCTCCTGAAATTATTTTAAATGGATTGACAAATTGTTTGGGATTTCAGACATCTAAATCTGCTAAGTTATTTTAGAATGTTGTTCTCGTGGTGGGAATTTCCTTTTTTTTTTTCAGGTCTATGATAGAACTTAGAGGACTGTTAGGTATTCTTGAAATGATTTAATTTACAAGAACACTTGTTTGACTTGACTAGATGGAGATGAAGCGAAAACTGGTAAAGGTGGACTGATATTATTATATGAGAAAATACGAAAAACTATTTGTGCCTTACCGAAAGACAAGAAGAATTACGTTACAGTCATGATAGATGATATGTCTCTCATGGAGGTGGCTGCTAATGGTGCTTCAGATTACGTCTTAGATTTCTTGCATTACTGCCACACTTTAACATCAGAATTTGTAAGATAAAGCTTCAACCTCTTACTTTGTGTCTACACTTTCTATCAAGCAATGCTTACTTCTTGCTGCTTACTTACATCACAGGATTGTTCATTAGTTGCACTTAATCATGAGGATATATATTCAAGCATAGAGAGGCCTATGTTTATATTACAAATGGAGTACCTTGCAGACATCCTGATAAAAACAGAGCCTTTGGCTACTGGCTTGGCAGCTGATGTGCATGGGCAGGTATGGTTGTATGTGTGTATGAGTTTATTATCAATGGGCTTATTCTGTCATTAATTTGAGTTCACTGCTTAATAAAGTCTGTGAAACGGTTGACTCAACAAATTTCATTATGTATCATGTGAATTCTAACTTTTACTGGAGTTTTTGTTTTCTTAGTTCTCTGGTTCTGTGATTGCCAATTAAGTGAGAAAGCTAATATTTTAAAATCTGCAATAATTTGATCTTTAATGTCAACTCACTATGGCATGCATATTGTACAAACTGAAGTCAGAATTGGTCTGAATGTTAATTATATCTGGTACTTGTTGGTTGTAAAGTAATTGTTATGGTTGTTTACTGTCCATGTCTCAGGGCTTGAACAGATGCTACCCCAGCAAACTTCAATATACTAGTTTATATGTCTCTAATATGTTAATGGGCATTGGTTTACATGTCGTTTCCATGAAGGCTAACATAAATATGCTACCCGTCTTTTAGTTGTGGTGTTATGCAAAATTCATCTAAAATCCAATCTTCGCACTGATTAGAATACTAGAACTTTAGTTCTGGAAAACTGGAACCTATTGTTCTACAGCTAAAGGTTACAATGAGCATGTGCTTTTTTACCTGTTCAATTAAATCATTGGAATATCAACAAGCCAAAATGATTTTTAGCCGCTGGAATTGTCACATTTTCGAGTTTTAAATCTGTTAGACTGAATTTTGCCACCTATTGAACATTATACAGTAGAGCTTCTGTTAGATACTTGGATAAATTAAAACTTAATGAAAGAATACATGCTGTTATTGAGTTTGACGAGGCTAGTGATTTCTCAAAAAATATTTCATCTTCATCCACATTTTTTTTTCTTGCCCATATTTTCCCACAATAATTCTCTGTTGCAGTTGACGATCTTGAACAAGGGAATTTCCGATTCCCTGGAGAGCTCAAGGAACAAGATACACAATTTCCACTTCAAGGTCAAGGAAAATGGTGTTGACTATTTCTATCCTGGGAGCCGGGCTTGAGAAACCTGCAACTTTATTTTTATCGAAAATTGAATTGCTACCCTGACATACTTGGATGTAGTTTTACAGTTTGCCAGAAGAAGGCTTTATGTTATTTCATGTGGAAAAGCTTGTATCTTATATTGATGATCATGGAAGAAAAAAAAAATTCCTTCAGAAAAAAGCCATCTTTATGGCTCCTCAATGGATTGTTTGTTCAGTTTATTTTTAGATCAAAGGATTTTGTGACAATATGAAATGTGGGATTATCCTTGTAAATTTTGTGGTTTAATCATACGATCTTTAATTATTTTGTTGTCTCCTTCGAGGTTTATTGGATTTATTGATTTAATATAATATTTAGGGATTGGGGGTGTTGATCCTCAAAATTGCTTGTGATTCAATCTCCATACCGAACAATGTGTTAAAAGTTTAGCAATCAGCTGGGTTATCCTACACTATAGAGGATCCATAAAAATTTACACGATTTTCTCTTTATAAAGGCCAGAAAAGCTCAGAAGACATCATTCTTTAATGATGCTAGACAGAACCACCACCGGGTCGTTTGATGGTAAAAAATCAAAAGAGGATTTAAGTTTAAATGCTCTCCTGAGTTTAAGTCCTCACAACTGTTAATAGGATGACCACTGAAATTCTTATCCGGCCGGTAGTTCCAGGGTTTCAAGAGATTAGTTGAGCTAGTTCGGACACCCCTAGTAAAAAAAAAAAAAAGTAACAGAGCAAATCTCTTATTTGCTGATTTAGTTGTAACTGGGTTTTGAATAGTTTTGAATATTTCTTTATCTAACTTTGTATAAGTTGTTTCTACTGTTACCTACAATCTAGGAGTTAGTTTCGGTTATTTAGTTTCCACGTTTAAACACCTTTGTATTCTATAAATATTCAATTATATCAATAGAACAAATATATCATCATTTCTACCAATCTCCTTCTCTTGTTATGGTATCAAAGCTTTAAGATTTTTTTTTCTCCTCTCTTTTAACCTGTCGCTATGGCAACTGAGACTACCAACGACTCCTCTGCTACAACAATTTCCAATACCAATGATCCATGCAATACTCTGATCAGCATTAACATTACAGCTCAAGCCCCTCTCAAACTCACCGCTAAGAACTATATCTCCTAGAAACTACAATTTCAGACGCTTTTCATCGGATACGACCTCCTCGGGTATGTTGACGGATCAAAAGCATGCCTAACTACAACTATCACTCAGAATGAAACTGTAATACAAAATCTAGCCCACATGATATGGATTCGGCAGGATCAACTAATACTCAATGCAATAGTTGGTTCCCTTTCTCTTACCCTTATTCCCTTCATCACTCGAGCCACAACTTCACGACAAGCCTGTAGTAGCCAATACTTATGCCCTGCCTTCTCATAGACGAATCAAGCAAGTAAAAATTCAACTAAAAAATCTCACAAAGGGCTCACAAACAATTACTGGATTTCTATTAATAGTTAAAACTCGAGCTGATGAACTCATAATCCTTGGAGCACCACTTGATGATGAAGATCAAACTAAGACAATACTTGATAAACTTGGTGATGATTACAAAGAACTTGTTCGTGCAATTCAAGCCAGAGATAATCCGATTGGATTTGATGAACTTCATGAAAAGCTACTGTGTTTCGAAGTATCTATGCAAGGTACCAAATAAGAACCATCTTATTTTCCTACCTCTGCTGACCCAACAAGTCGAACCTATACTAGTTCACACTCACTAGGCAACAATGGCTGCAAACCACCACCAAACAATGGTATCAACAACACTACCTGGTGCCCATCACCCACCTATGGTGCTTGCCCTCCCGTTCCAAACACTGTTGGAGCCAATCCTTGTGCTTGGCCTCCTCCATGACCTTACCTTGGCTATTGTCAAATTTGCAAAATCCAAGGACACACTGCCAAGTGATGTCCTTCATTTCGCTTAGTCCCAATTGAACAATTCAGTAACACAAATACAACACAACAGCAGTAACACCTTTACAATGGTAGCCAAGAGCTCATTTTGCTTCCAACAGTTCCAACACTCCAGTGTGGCTTCTGGACAGTGGTGCTTCTTACCATGTCACTTCTGACTTGAGCAATCTTTCCCTTCACTTTCCTTACGCGGGTTTTGAAGACATAATGATTGGAGATGGCACGGGTCTTCCCATCACTCATACTGGTTTCACCTCTCTCAAAACTCCTACTGTTAAATTTTCCTTAAATAATGTTTTATGTGTACCTAGCACGAAAAAAAACTTAATATCTATCTCTCAATTTTGCACTTCCAAGAATGTTTCCATTGAATTCTTAGCCTCTTCTTTATTGGTGAAGGAACTTCACCTGGGAACAACACTTTTGAAACGTTCAACAAAAGATGGTGTGCATGAGTGGCCAATCTTCATCACCACTCATGCAAGCATTTGACATGGATATTCAAAGGCATTCCCATTGTGAGGCTTCGACACAAACCATCACCCCTGAAATCATATCATCTGACTCTACACCCTCTACAAATAACTTTTCAAACCAACCAACACGATCAATTCAACCAATACTCAATCCACCACCAAGACGTCCCTCCTGTATCCCTTCCCAACCAGCACACTCAATTATCACCCAAGCCAAAGACAACATTCACAAACCTGTCAAGAAGCTTAATCTTCATACCCAATTATCCAAATCCATCAATATTGAACCCACAACCATAACCCAAGCTCTCAAAGATCCAAAATGGCGTCAGGCCATGTTGGAAGAATATGATGCTCTAGTTCGGAATGGGACATGGAAATTAGTACCTTTTGATCCTAGTCATAATATTGTTGGTTTTAAATAGATTTTTAGAATCAAACGTAACTCTGATGGCTCCATTGACAGGTTTAAGGCCCGTTTGGTTGCAAAAGGTTTTCATCAACGCCCGAGAGTTGATTATCATGATACTTTCAGTCTCGTGCTTAAACCCATCACCATTTGCCTCATTCTAAGCCTAGCTGTGAGTCACGACTGATCTCTTCGTCAACTTGATATCAATAAAGCATTCTTGCAGGGTCACCTCTCTAAGACTGTTTACATGGCTCAACCACAAGGCTTCATTGATCAAGATTATCCATCTTATGTTTGCAAACTTAGAAAAGCAATTTATGGTCTCAAGCAAGCTCCCCGAGCCTGGTATCAAGAACTTCGTACATTTCTCCTTAACTCCGGTTTTAAGAATTCTCATACTGATACAGCTCTATTTGTTCTTACCTCGAATGGCCATCTACTCTATCTACTTGTTTACGTTGACGACTTGATTATAACTGGGGATAATAATTCTTTGGTGGAAAGGTTTGTTACTTTTTTAGCTGATCATTTCTCTTTAAAGGATCTTGGTTTGTTGACATATTTTCTTGGTGTAGAGGTTGTCCTAAACAACCATGGTATTTTACTCTCTTAGCGTCTATCTAATGGATATTCTTGCAAGAACTCACATGACTAATGTTGAACCAGTGGCAACTCCTCTTCCAACGAGTTCCTCTTCTCTTACATTGAATTATGGGTCTACTCTTTCTGATCTTACAGTGTTTCGGGCAATACTAGGAAGTCTTCAATATCTTCTTCTTTCTCGCCTTGATATTGTTTTTGCAGTTAATAAGCTTTCACAATTCATGCATAGATCTATATCTGAGCACTAGGCTCTTGTTAAACGATTGCTTCGTTATCTTTGTGGCACTATAAATGATGGTCTTCAACTGTTAAAGGACTCTCCTTTATCCTTACATGCCTTCTCTGATGTTGATTGGGTTGGCAATCCGATGACTTTTCCTCCCCTAGTGCCTACATTTTTTATCTTGCCCGAAATGTTATCTCTTGGAGTTCAAAGAGGCAACGGACGATAGCTCGTTCCTCCATCGAAGCTGAATACCGATCAGTTGCTACCACAACAGCAGAACTTAATTGGGTTTCTTTTTTGTTACATGATATGTATGTTCATCTCTCTACAAGTCCTGTTGTGTATTGTGATAATGTTGGGGCTACTCAACTTTGCTCTAATCCCGTTTTCCACTCATGAATGAAACATGTAGCTATTGATTTTCATTTCATTCGTGATCAAGTTCAAGGTGGTTCTCTTCGTGAAAATAAGAGAAAAATATATGCCTTTTGAATTGTATTTTATTGAATAAGGAGGCGTAGCTTTATACAAAAGTTTTCCTACAATCATGCTAGTCTATTCTAGGTAGTCTAAATATAAAAGACAACAAAACAAATATGTCTTACAATCATGCTAATCTATTCTAGGTAGTCTAAGTATGAAAGGCAATTAAATAAATATACAATTAATATAATATATTTGTCAATGAATGTCATTGACCTTTGCTTCTCAACACTTCGGACTGCACATGTTTCCTCTGTTGATCAACCTGCTAATGCTCTAACCAAACCACTTTCCCATGCTAGATTTTTTCTTCTCAAAGACAAGATTGGACTCTACTCCGAAGCTCCATCTTGAGGGGGCATAACAGAGCAAATCCCTTATTTGCTGATTTAGTTGTAATTGGGTTTTAAATATTTTTGAATATTTCTTTATCTAATTTTGTATAAGTTGTTTATGTTGTTACCTACAATCTAGGAGTTAGTTTCGTTTATTTAGTTTACACGTTTAAACATCTTTGTATTCTATATATACTCAATTATATCAATAGAACAAATATACCATTATTTCTCCCAATCGCCTTCTCCTGTTAAAAAGATCCTAGACAACATTATCAGGATAATGCATGGGACCTACCCGTAAGGTATCTCAAAAGAGGGAATTTTTCATAAAAAATGGACTTCAATTCAGTCCTCATTGTGCCATATGTTACTGAACTACCACAATTAAGAACTTTAAGTATTATGCGCCTCCAACAAGTCTGTTTTCCCTCATTATTGGTAAACTTTTGAAATATAAATATGTGTAAAATATAGAAATTTTATTAATATTTATCCTAAAAGGTTACACTTAGAAGGCATTACCAAACAAAAGCACTAAATATATTTGTATATTTTATATACAAATATCAATATTTTAGATTATTCAATAATGTTATACATATAAAGTTAGGTTTTCAAATTTATATTCTAATCTACGTGACAGCTGATTTATCAATATTTTAATAATAATATGATAAATGAATTAATTTACAAAATCAAATACTGAACATTATTATAGTTTTAATATGTATCTTCTTAGGAGAATCCTATAAAATTATAAATTGGTATTACCAAAAACTCTTAGCTATATTCTTCATCTTCATGGAATACATTCTTGGAGTCACCACAACTTGAAAAAGTCTGTAGGAAGAAAGCCAATGACTTTCTACGATTTCATAAAAGTGATGCAAGAAAAGTTAGCCCATTATTTATGCCACGTCATAAAAGTCTTTTATTCAGTTGGACCAAGTTGTCTTCTGGACTATTGCACAATTTGACCAATTCAATCTCTTTAAATTTAGCGGCTGAGATTATTGTTTTCTATATATGGTGTGTGGAGGGTGTCCTGTCCACAACCCAAAGTAGCGGATGTTGTTGGCTTATTGCACGTCATTTTAAGGGGTTTTGGTCCACGAATTAGCCCAAGTGTGGCGCAAGTCAGAGATCACGTCCCACGAATTGAGCTGAGTTGAGGATGATAATTTGTTCTGCAAGCTAAATATGGCCTCAGAGTCAGAGGTAAGCTCTTCTCCTTCCTCCACATGCACCGATCACTTTCAGATTACTCATGGAATGCAACTTCTTCATGTAGTAGTAGTTATTTATGCCATTTCTTTTTAAGTAGAAATGTACAATCAATGTGGCAAATGCCTGAAGAAATCATTTCCTCAAACAGCTTGAAACAAAATATGATATATACCTGCTTCACAGAAAATTTTCTGTATTGCTGCCCCAAGGATTCTGAATCTATGGGTGCAATACAAGAGAACGGTGCAGATCCCTGTAAGGTAAAATTTTCTGAACGACTGTTGATCCTCTTTTTTGAAGCTTGTCCAGATGCTTATAAGACTACAACATATTGTGATAGAGTCGAGCGTTTGATCAATGTCAAAACACTGACTAAGCTCCAAAACCAAACATGAGGAAGAAAAAAATATACCAGAAATGAAATGCACAGAAAGGAATCATAGGAGATGGAAAAGTCCTTGAAGTATCCATTTGAGATGCACACCGAATATAAGAGTTTTATTAGAGGAAGGTGCCCGAAAGGCAGGCTTCTGCATGTTAGTAGTGGTTCATCACAGTACCATCGTAGTCTTTAATTATAATAAAATACAGTTGAAGGTGTCTTTCTAGAGCCCTTGCACATAGAATTAAGTTGATATGCTGCACTACGGCAAATAAATGCAGCCTCCCATATCCACAATTGCTGCCAATCTTAAGTACAAAAATCCACACGTATCATCAGGGAATGGAAGGTTAGCTATCTGCATCGTTGTACTTGTTTTCAAGCAACACCTGTTTCACAAATTGTCCTCGAACCCTCGGTCTTTGCTCTGCCATTTTCTTCCTGCTATGGTATCGCACCTGAGAAAGATGATGTAAATTAGATGTTTCTGTTCGTTTCCCATCCAAATGATGTAAATTAGACGTTTCCCATCCAAAATTGACCGTAAAGATGGACAATACCGATGCAAATGCAAAAGCAAAACAACAAAAAAGCAAGACTCTTCGACTCCCAAATTAACGTAGTACGTCTGATCATACCAATAGCTAGACAAATGTGATGTTTGCAAAGATGAACAACAAAGGAAGATGATATATTTTCCTTAGCATACGTCTAGAGAGGGAAGGGGTCATTGTTATCATTGTTTTGTCAAAATATCATAAGTTCAGAGTAAGATATCTCCCAAGCTATGGAAGTTCATTTTAATGCAGCTTTCATGCAAAATCTACCTCATTTTTGGCTCCATAGTTCTTAATCTAAAATTGAAATTCCGATTACCTTCTTTTCAAAGCATCTCTTTTTTCTCTTCTGGCGAAATTTGTTCAAAACAGCCTCTCTTTGTGCAAATCGGTTTTTCTCAACTCCACTACTGCTAGCATATCCAATGCCACCAGAAGCTCCACTTTCTGCAGCTAAGCCATTATCGCTTTCAACATTTATTCCTCTGGCATTTACAACAAGGCTGCTCCCATTCTGTCCATTGCTTCCATGGTAACTTCCTGAGGTGCTCCCATTCTGTCCATTGCTTCCGTGGTTACTTCCCGAGGTGCTCCCATTCTGTCCATTGCTTCCGTGGTTACTTCCCGAGGTGCTCCCATTCTGTCCATTGCTTCCGTGGTTACTTCCTGAGGTGCTCCCATTCAAACTGTGATTACCAGTATTGCCTTCAATGGGTGCACTCAAACCATTGGATGAACCACACTGGGGAGCTGCTGCTGTTGCCATGGTTTTCAACAACGAATCATCTTGGTTGGCTAGCTGCTGTTGGAGCATATTATGGACATGGTGGAGGTGATGGTGGTGCTGCACTTGGATTGATTCTGTTTTTGCTGCCTCTGAGCTGTTATCAAGTAGAGAATTGCTACCTACATTTCCGGTGGGAACCTGATTAGCGGTTGAAGCAGAAGTATATCTGCATCAGAGAAGAATAATTCAACTGTCAAATTTGAGCTCCTATTGCATGGTGATAGATGTTATTTAAATCCAAGATTTACTTATACCTTGAGAAGGCTGAGTGCTCATCTGAATGTCTTAAAACATTTCGTTCATGCAGACCAGTTTCAGTATCTCCTGTATCTCTCCGTCTCTTCAAACTAAGCTCAAGGCCAGGTAATTCGTTATGTTCATAGATGGCCTTTTCTTTCATGCCAGAGACCTTAAAGAGGCCATTTGTGATGTCAAAAACTACATCTTCAATTGTAGAATCAATACTGTTAGTGATGACACCCATTTGATCAGCAACTTGGTTTCTCAAATCACCATTGGGTTTCTTACAGTTGAGCTCAAGTTGATTTTTTTTTTGTTGCTCATCATCCTTCTTATAATTCATTTCAGAAATTTTTTCTTTGTTAATGCTTGCAATGTTGTTCAGTTCCTTTCCAGTTGGGTCCTCAAGCTGCAAATTTGGTATTCTGGGTACTCCAAGCTCCAGGTCTTTGCCCATCACAATATGGTCTGAAGCAAAAAGCAAATGGTGACATGAGATGTATAAGAGCAAGAGTACAATGAAAAACAGACCCATGCATACCATGTTCATCATCCTGCTTTTCGTGTTCTCTTGTTGTGGTCGTAGGCACCCAGCTGTTGCCAAATGCTTCAGGCCTTGAAAGAATAACCTGGGCACAAGTGCGATCAAGAGGATCAGCTAATTGGTCCCCTGGTGACATGGGTTTGAGGCTTTCAACTTCTGCTGCCCCCTTCATCCTTGAGCTCTGCAAAAGGAGAATGTAAGTGTGCATACGGATATATAAATTTACTTGGTTCTGGGCTTCATATGCTTTCAGTTACATATATGTTGATTTCTCTCACACACAAGCATGCCTGCAAACAGCAATGTGTGCACACATATTTGAAAATATACATGCACAACTACATTTGAATGGAGACAGATATAAGCTTAATTCATAAGGTTATACAAGAACTCATATCTCAACAAGTAGTGGCTTCCCAGCTTGATATACAAAGCATTTTTGGACATTTTAACACAACTAGGGCGATATTTTTTTCCGAATTACATAGAACATTACTCATTGCCATCTTTATCCAGGTCATCATTGCCCAATTTCTAGTCTGTTTAAAGTGCATGACTCACTGCAACCACAGGCATAGGTCATTGTTGCAGAATACATGTTAATCACCATTCTGGCTTTCTCATGTAGCACTAATTTGGGCCATCTCTTTGTGAGTGCATTCATTCATCATCAAAATTATTTTGCAATCTCTGGTTAGATGAGCATAAATGCATATATAATCATGCACATGGATACAGTGTATTTAGGTGCAGGGGAAAAACCAATATTTTAACTTTGGGGACAGCATGACAGAAACATGGTTTAAAATCAAGTAAAAAAATTGATTTTGAATCTTGGAGATTTTATAGACTGGTTTTGTGGACACTTCCTTTTCATGACGAGAATATCAATAGGTATTGACGCCTGACCTTTATTTAGATATAATTGATTTCTTTTCTTCAAGATCTGGGTTCTTCATAACATAGAGAAACTATTGTTTCTGAAAATAATATCATCCGCTGACATATCTCAATATCTTGCTATCTTAGAACCTAGTAAAGATATGAACCAATGGCGTCAAACATCATTAAAGCTGCCATCCAATTTGTTTCTTCCTTTTCTCTTTAAAGCACTTTCCTTCGCAATTTCTACATTTGGTTTAAACAAACATCCTTCGAGGAAACATCTCTGTATGAGGTAATTTATAATTTTTAAAGTTTGCATTTCTCTCTTTTTGTGTTTCTTACAGGAGTCATATACCATCACTGAGTCAATATTAGATTTTTATTTTACTTTATTGATAAGAAATAGAACCTTTAATTAATAATAATAGGTTTACAGGAAAATTACATGAAAGGTGAACTGTGGTCCACCCTTCTTCTGCAGAAGAAGGCATCTATAGAAAAAACATCTAAAAGGTACCAAAAATAAAGGATCATTTAGCTACTTCCTCCTTATTTGTTGAATGAAAAAGAGTGGAACACCAATGAACTCCCTCTAAAATGACTCCATTTATTCTTTTCAAAACCAGTTCTCTTTTCAATTTTCATATATCTAATAATGTCAAGAACCTTGGCCACAAATTTCTATACTTAATTTATACTTATCAAAATAAGATAAAGAACCTCATCTGTCTGAATTAAATCACAATAAGAGATTGAGATAGAGATAGAGCTAGAGCTAGTAAAACCAATAAGTATAAAAATAACCCTGAAATAAAGATCACATAAAATGCTTCCAAGATAAACTAAATCAACATCAAAATTCCTAGAAGCCTAGACCATGAATTGGCCCCCACATGGCTAAAGTTTCCACCAAAACGAGGTTGGATGAACTTCCTTCTCCTTATGATAGTTGCCATTTGAACATACAAATTGTTATGACACAACACATATCTCCTTTTCCCTTTTGGGCTCGTTGAATCTACTCTATTAAGAAGGTTATACAATTTCCATATATATATATATATATATATATGCAAATGTTTCTATAGTGGTGAAGAAAAAGATGCTCATAAAAGCTTCATATATCTGACGCTAGTATTAATAGAGGTAGGATCCTTTGCAGTACCCTTTCTGTCAAACTAGGTGCAGTTGACAAAGTAAAACACACCACATCACCCTAGACAAATCCCACAACTTACAACAATCTACTTTAGTTACCCACATTCTTTTTTGTATTATTCTGAAATAAAAAAGAAAGAGGTGCATGGAGCAGGTTCCTTAACCATCTCTTTATCTACAATCGTATGTCTCTGTCACCTAAATCTATAGGCAACCTCTAATTCGCTTTCGCTTCCACTGGACTTAATTACTACTATATCCATTTTAAACTTTTTCTGGCATCATGTTACTTTTTCCAATCTTCTTGCACAATGATGATAGTATCCAATGTCATCCACCATAACCAGCTAGAGTAAATAATTACAAGTTAGGAAGGAAGGATTACTGGAGTTAGAAGAAAGAGTTTGACATAGAAATGGGTTAAATAGGAGCCCTGAGTTTCACTATGGTCTACTAGGAGCCCAATCCTTGTGTCTACTAAATTAACCAAAGTTATAATTGACGAAGGATTTCATATGTGAGATTGACCGTAAAGAAATCAAATGTAACTAAATCATCTATCAGAGTTTATAATACTCGTATATAATTGTAAGAGTAACGTACCACAACTAATATAAATATGAAACTCTTCATGGTAGTTTCTTCTTCGTCATTTAAAAATTCATTGTTAATCAAATCTTATACATCAGATTCCCGACAGTACTTGGAGATCCATGGTTAATCACAAAGATTTCTTTGCTAAGAACTATTTAAATCCTAGCACTAATTGTAATTTACTAGTTTTTCTCAATCTTAGAACCAGTTGCACAAACTCTCAAGGGAAATATAACTCTTTCGCTCAACAGTATATAAAGGTACACCAACAGATAGGCAAACTTATTGCTACCAAATATTAACTATTTCAGATGCAACTCAAACCTTTCTAAATTAGAATTGTAACCAACCATATTGTTACTACCAAAGTAAAAGTAACACAGAGTCGAAGAGTAAGAGTTAGCAAATCAGTAAAACAATGAACAGTAACATAGAAGCAAAGTTCCAATGTATATATTAAAGAAATGAGTGAAAGTGCAAGTTAAGCGTAACCAAAAAAAAAGTAATACCTGGTTGCCACTTCCATTATCACTTCCATCCCGAATATTTAAACCAATGCTTCCTATATCATTTTCACCGTAGCTGCCAGAGTTGTTATCCGACTCTTCAGCATTTTTCGACTTGGTTGATTTTTCAGTCATTATACCACTTTCAGTCCCACTGCCACTAGACTAATGAAAGGACGAATAGTGAATACAAAACAGATGAGGAAAATTTTTATACTTTTTCTGCAGTCTTATATCAATGAAATGGAAAATAAATTATGAAAATGTGACAAAGAAAGAATGTGTACAAAGATCCAAAATCACAATTTTTGAAATATGGTCCAATGGCATGACTCCAAGCAAAAATTAGTGCCTTCTTCATTAGTATGGATGGCCAATAATTGATAAGTATGCATATGTAATCACAGAACTGATTAGAACCAAAAATTTGGTCCATCATATAGTATCATACATAAAGCGGGATAACAATAGCAACTCACACTCTGGCATTTCCTCCAAACATGCTGCCAAAAGTTCTGGAGCTCATTCTTTCGAATAGGCTTCCCTAAAAAGTGAACTGCACCCTTGGATAAACACTTAAAGACTACACTCATAGAATCATTAGATGACATCACTGCACACAAAACTCCACCAGGTGTAGCAGTTAAAAGTATAAATTTGAAAAAGTAAAAAGAGAAAAACAGTGTTAATTTCAAAAATAAGAAAAAGTACAAGAAATATACTCACTAATCACTGGAATATTCTTGCAAGTTTTGTGGCTCATAATCTTGTGCAAAAGGCCAATGCCCGATAGACAAGGCATGACTACCTCAGTTAAGATGAGGTCAATTTGATTGGTTAGATCTTCTAAGATTTTCCAAGCTTCTAGGCCATTTTCTACAGCAACAACTGCCAAAATAGAAATATATGGCAGATTCATAAGTGAAGAAAAAAAATAGAGAGGTAAGCTTGATATACTAAGGGGAAATACATCATAGTTCGAAAATTAACTTTATAGTTTCTGAAATTCTTTGTCCAGGGGAGGTATGATTACTTACTGCCATTTGTATAGAATTGTTTGTCCTCCCTAGTTTTTTAATTCTTTGCAGACACCTAGTCCATAGATGTTTATATTTTTATTATTACAATTAACAGTTTATAATAACTTATAAAAAAAGGAGTTTTGTTCACTTTTGATAAGAAATAAAATCGTTTGAAGCAAATGGATGCCAGCCATGTACAGAGGAAGCACACAAGATAAACCCTAAGAGATTGTCAAGCAACTACACATCCCTAAAGTTTAAGCTCATAAGTTAGGACCCAACAATTTTATTCAAGTGCTAACACTCTCCTCTAACAAGGCAAGTGGATCACCCACAAATAAAAACACAACTTATTTTAGTTTGATTTACACAATGAGGAGATTCAAACAGAAGTACCTTGCTCTGATAACATCTTAACTAACAATTAAACCCAAAAGCTTAGGCATACACGCTCACATGCACACAGAGACACACACACACACACACACACACACAAATACATGTATGGGTTAAGCTTATAAGTAAAGTCTACTGACTATATTTAAACTCTATGAGGGTAAAATAAAAAAAATAAAAAAAAATCACCTTAGTTCTAAAACTAAGAGAATTTGGAATGTACAACAGACGAACAATAATCCCAAAAACGGCTGGTTAAGTATAAACAAATCTTTAAACATAAAATACCAGAGATACCCTAGAAGGAAATAATAACAGATGGAATTTAAGCTGTTTGAGGATTGAAAAGAACCTAAATGTATATTAAACCTGCCAAAATCCACAAAATATATCATGGCAGATGAACACATTCCTAAAGGATCGATCTATTCCTTCTTCATTTTCTGTCATGACAAAATGAAAATAAAAATCAAATCTTGTATTTCCTATATTTGAGAAGGCTTTGGGTATCATTATCTAAAAACAAAATTCTAAAACTAAAAATAAAGAAATGTGTTAAATAAAGCACTTTAAAAATAAAAAATATACATTTGTATGTATATAACCATTAAAATACTTTACTAATAATTTTAATAACTCGAGAGATCAAATTAAAGTTGCTTATCTAAATTAAAAATAAAATAAAATAAAACAGCTGAAAAGTACTTTACAGGTTTTGAAAAATGGACAAAGCAATAAAAAGTACTTTCCCATATATTGTTTTGTCACTTATTTGTTGTAAATTGGAGAAAACAAAAAAAAAAATGTGTTTTACAAGGAAAGAATACACGAAAATAGGAAACACAAATGGAAGCGAACAAACCCTCAGATTTCCAGTTGAAAATAGAGATTTCTCTACACCTAGGGCTTTTTGGATAGAATAGTCAACTATTAACAATGCAGAACTCCTCTTCATTAATAATGGCCATGGCTTTCAAACAAACTTAAACCACAAGCTTTGTTGTTCTGAATAAAGTGAGGGGAATATTACTTATTAGTCATATAACCCTCTAACATTCAAGTTCAAGGAACAACAGTGATACAGTCACTTGATTAAAAGGTTGAATACATAAAGCAAGGACATGAAATGCCATCGTGGTCCAAATTGATACTAGATTTCATACCAAGTCTACAAAAAGACTACCAGGTTTTAAAATTTTGATTTTATTACTGAAGGTAAAATATTTTTTTCGGTTACCCCTTCCATCCCATCCAAAGTGCAAAAGCTTGAAAAGAACTTCAGAAAAATGTTAGTATGTTTCAAGAAAATTCAAAATAATATGTTCAACGGTCAAACACATCAAAAGTGCAGAAAAGCTCCTCTAGTGAAAGAAGAATATAAAGACCAGAAAAGCTGCATCCATGTAGAGAGCAAAGGAAGTCCACATCACCAAGGAAAACACAGAAAAAACTTCAACACAATTAGTGTGTTTGGTCTGTGTAACAATATATGGGATTGGATTATTGGTGGAACCATGCAACTGTTTCAGTGTCGCACACAGGAAGGATACGTAATCCTTGGGCCCACCACTCAATCTTATGTTCATTGGATGACTAATCCAGTAGAAAAGCATGGGATTAGCTTATCTCATATTCATAAGACTCTATTTTAGGAATGTTTAAATTATGTTGATAAAGTGGGCTTGGATAGAACTCACTCCCAAAAGCTAGCTCAAGGGAGGAGGGAGCCCAATCACTTATATACACCATAACAGCCCACTATTGGGGCGATGTAGGACAAATTCAACTTCTAACACCTTATCTCACGTTGGGCGTGCAAGGCCGGGGTCCAAACCCATCATCGCCCAAAGAGGGGAGAGACAAACATGACTTTGATACCATGATAAAATGGGCTTGGGTAGAACTCACTCCCAAAAGCTAGCTCAAGGGAGAAGGGAGCCCAATCACTTATATACACCATAACAGCCCACTATTAGGGCGATGTGGGACAAATTCAACTTTTAATAGTAGTCATAATCAAAATTATACACAATAGTTATTCATATAATAAAAAACAATTAATTATTGCTATAACTAAAATTTTCATAAATAATCAGTGACTAATTTTGATGAATATTTAAATATTAAATTAAAAAAATAAAGTAAAATTTGTAGTAGTATTTAAATTATATTTTATTTAAAATGGTTTTTATTAACTTAGTAGGGGAACATGAATTCATTTACTATATACAACCTCATCTAATCCGGTATTGGACCCAAAATAGAATAGTTCTATTTATTATCCAATATTATCCAATCCTAATTGATCCACTACTGCGTACCAAACACACTTTTTAAGTCATTTAAATAACCATAACTTGAAAAACTCAGAAAAAGAATACTATACCAAAACCAATTTGAGGAGAGCAAACTAATCAAAAGTCTAGTTATTTCCAGCTAATAGTGGCCAGATGAGCTCATGCTTATTAATATGTTATATCGCTTATTGGAAATCATTAAAAAGAAGGTCATTGCCATGTTGACACCTTTATGCTGAAAACACTATATAACATCCTCTCTTCTACCATGTTGATATCTCTATTCAATTTCCAAAATAAATAGTATTTACTTCAATTCTCAAATCATAGGTATACATCGTTCTATGTTAGGAAAGTTACTGACCTTCATAGCCACAATTCCGAAGTAATGCACAAACAACACAGCGAGTTGAATCATCATTTTCCACAAGTAGAACCTTAAGTGACCTGAGAGGCAGAAACCTCTCCCAGCAAACAAGAGGCCCCTGAGGCTGTTGCTGTGGCCTCTGCAGGACAGCCTGCGCATGTGCCTGAACAGCTTCCACCCACCCATCATTGACATCTTCCAAATCCTCATTGATTCCTGATTCATCTTCCTCTGAGAGCCCCTGCCCCTCACCCGCAACCCCATCCCTTATTTCCTTGCGCTCATCTCGAATACAATGATTTAATTCCGCCAACCCATTGGTCATGGGGCCATTATCATTCATCTGAATTAACTCCATCAACCAGACTCATACAGACCAATGATGTGGAAGTTGGTAAATAGAATTGGTGAGATAACCTCCTTTGTTCCACAAGAGAGCTTGCAAATCCTACAGAAGTGGAGAACCTTAACAAATCCAACAGAAGAAAAATTTATGGAGTTCCATATATAATTATCATAAACAAATAAATTTAAAAAAAAAATCCTAGTCTCATATGAGCTAGAAAATGGTGTGTATCCATCCGAATTCCAAAAGATTGAAACATCAGCAGAACACTTATCAAGATGAAAGAGTTGAATCCAGGATGATGTAAAATATGAAGTTAATACTCATAATGAAGCATAGACACAGATTTATAGCTGATAAAATGTTTAGAAAGGAAAGGAAATTATAAAATCTGAGTCATAAATATTTTAATAATATCAACCAGGAATTAAAAAAAAAAAAAAAAATTTCATTACTTGATTGGAAGGTAAACTAGTTTTGTACATAAAGGAAGAACTAAAAAAAATAAAAATAAAAAGGCCTGGCTCAACTATTGGCTTAAACAATATGCTTGATTTGGAGGAAAAACTTAACTAGCATAAGTCCTCAATTTCTTAAAACCACAAAAACACAAGAAAACATTTAAATTAATTTTTCTCTTTATTTGCTTAATTTCTTAGGAAGAAAATAGAATTTAGCACAAACAAAGAAATAATGGCTTCAGATTCAAACCAGTAAAGTTGAAATTTACAATTTAGAGGGAAAAAAAATGAAATAATGAAATTCAAAATCAAGTTTCAGGCTTCATTAATGCGAGATAATGCACTTAACGAAGCCTAATCCAACCATTAACATGCTAAATAAAGTGCTTTTTCATCCAACCAAACAGATAGTAGCAGACACATCATTCTCATAATTCCACATCCAGATGAAAAAGAAAAAAAGTGTTGAAATTAGAGTAATTAGATATCTCATATTTTGACTCTAAAAAGAAGAAATCAAATGAAGTCCAAATCTTCGAAATGCGGAAAAAGAAAAATCATATTAATTTGAGTATGTTTATTTTTCACCAAAAAAAATATCAACTAGCATCATAAGAGTCGCTTGTTTCTTCGAAATAAAACAGTTAACACAGTTCGTAATTTTCTCAGCAATGAACAAACGGAAACAAACAGCTATTCAATTTACCTATGATAAACTTCATTCGAACGGGAAGCAGACGCCAAAATTCTCAGAAATTCAAGTTTCAGAGAGCGAAATTAAAATTAAAATAAGGACATTTTACTTTTTTAGGGTTTTGTTTTAATTATTATAACATAACAGAGAAAAAGGCTTTTTGACCAGTTGAGAAACAGCAAGGCCAGTTTTTTTGTGTTTGAAGACAAGATAGATATTATCAAAAAGATATATATATACACTACCCACTCGAGATGCTGACGTGGAAAAGTGAGTGCCTGAAATAGTAACACGTAATATGCCACGTAGGATTAGTATTTGATGAGATGGAGGGTAGATCTAAACCTGAACTCTGGATAACTTGTGGTGGATCTTGGGCGATCCTCCGTATCGAGTAAAGTGAAACGTGGCGCAATGTTTGAAGAGTTAAAGATGCCTTCACGTAGGAGCTTTGAATCTGAGCCACTAGGGTAACGTGGGTTTTGTATTACGACAGCTGAGTTGTGGAGCCCACATAAGAATGGCTTGGCTGACATTAATCTCTTAATGTCGAAAATACCCTCAATGAACCAAATTTCATTTCTCGAATTAATAATCAAATGTGCTGACCTTCACAGTTGTATAATCTATTAATTAATATGACAAGAGGGTCGGGACAATTTACACCTACCTCATTTAATCTTTTAAGATCTTAAAATTGACTGAGTAAGAATTTTAGTAATTATCCTTATTAGTAATCAAAGAGGAACTTGAATTCAAGATCTCCTGAGTAATACACCCAAGAGTCCCTATCAAACCACTTGACCACTTAGAGATAGTTATTCTAATACAACTTCAATACCCTTAATAAAAATACAAAAAGTCAAACTCAATATATTTTACTTTTAATTTTTTAATTTTATCAAAAAATAATAATTATTCTCATTTCATATATGCTTGGGGAGGGTTAACAGTACTGTTAAGAAGAAGATTAAGTGATATCTTTTAAATTATATAAAATGTGAAGTTTAGACAAAACTTAGCCTTGGATCATTTGGTAAAAAATAAGCTATTAAAATGGATGATCCATTTTGAAATTTTTTAAAGAAAGTAGTCACAAAATAATGTAATAAATTTTAAGGTTAATTAGGTATTGCCCTACTTTGATTGGTCTATATATACAGTAATGCTAGGTTTACAATTCAATTTCAAAAAAGATATATTTACGAGCTAACCAATTACGAGCTATCACATCATTGTAAAATTGGGTTTCGCCCCTATCGTTACTCTTACTCCTATAAATAAGGCAAGTGTTAAGTCAACCAACTAATCACAAGGCACCATGGTTGACTAGTTGTATATACCAAAGCGTATACAAGATTAGCACTTTGAAGTTGTATAAATACTAAAATATATTTAAATTAATCAAATAGACTTAAATTTGAACATATTTAAACTGTAATTTGATGATGAAGCTGGTTCCATTTAAATTATTTATTGATTGTAGTATTTGATACTAGTTATTATTAGAAAAACAAATTTAGGTGAGACAAAATCCATACCGTAAAATAAACAAACCACAAAAGGAAACGGTTTGATTCATAAGAGACTTTGTTGATTAAGCTTATAGCTTGTATGAACATTAACATCCAAATATTATCACTTGAAATGTGTAATATTATTATTATTAAAGCAATAACAAATAACAGTGATTTTTAATAAATTAAAGTCATCAAATAGATTTGAAACCAAGTGAAGAAAAAATATTGATTCCTTACATGTCAAGGCATTGTAACTTCAGTTTTAGAAACTATATTTTGGTGGCTGAGTGATTCAATAAGGACTCTTCAATATATCACTTAAGAAGTATTAAGTTTGAGGGGGTAATATTACATTTACAACCCAATTTTACAAATTTTCTCTCACAATCCTGATATTGCAGCTCGCAATTGGTTATCTCGCAAATGAGTCACATCTGCTTGCTATGGGTCCTGTCTACCAATTTACAAGCTGACTAATTGCAAATTGTCACATCGAGATTATGAGAAAAAGTTTGTAAGATTGGATTGTGAGCCAATTTTTATCTGAGTTCAAGTCCCTCCTTAGTTGTTAATAGGAGTAGCGACTGGAGCTCTTATCAGCCGATAATTTCAGAGTCTTGGGAGATGCTCTTACTGACCAGTAGTTTCAGGGTATTTGGAGATTAGTTGAGGTACACGTAAGTTGATTTAGACATCCTCAATAAAATAAAAAATAAAAAAAAAACCTTGTGTATCAAAGATAGATTTGAGCTGGCTCGGACATCCTCAATTAGAGCCGTCGGTGGGCCGTGCCAGCCCACGACACAACACGACACGGCCCGACACGAAAATATGCGAGCCGTGCTATGGGCCGGCATGACACAACACGAAAAAAAATAAAATTAAAAATTAATAGTTATTTTTTTAAAATGAAGATATATTTGAAGATTTTAAGAATTTAGAAATTAATGAAAATGAAGATGTATAATAATTCTTAATCCTAATTTCTAAATTTGTATTTGTAATTTATAATTATAACTTATAAGTAATAAAAAGTATTGAAATTCAATTAATATTTCAGTGTCTCATTATTTTATTATATTTCATAGTTATTATATATTTTTAATTAATATAAATACAAAATATCACTAAATATAACTTATAAAATATTTTTAAAATAATTATTAATAATAAATCAAAATTATCATTATTTATAAATATTAAAATTAAATATTTTTACAAAATACGTGGGCCAACCCACAGCACGACCTAAAGCATGACACAATATTAACGGGTTGTGCCGTGAGCCTTCAAATTTCGTGGGCTAGCACAGCACGATAGGGCACGAAACTGTGCAAGTCTTGGCATGGCACGACCCACGATATAATATACCTTAAATTTTTAGGTACGACACGACTCACCGTCAACTCTATCCTCAATCATAAAAAAAATAAAAAACAACAACTTGTGTATGAGAAATAGATTCGCATAGAATGTTGAAGTGGGGATAAAGTGCGAGCTATGAGGCTGTCAGTCGCCACTTGTAAAACCATTTGACTTTTCTTATTTAAGACTTTGCATCTCATGCCTTATTTGTGGCTTCAGGTTTTTTTTATCTACATTATTAATATAACCTAAAAGTTTTCATTATTCCTTTTGATCTTTTTCTTTCTTTTGGAATCTCCTCCTCGACACCTAGTTCAGCTTCATCCACTTGTGTTTTTTTATAATTTGAAAAATATTATTAACCTTATGATTATCAAAAACCCCGTTTCAATAACAATCGATACGTTTATGTTGAGCGATCTTATAAAGTAAATGAAGTACTAAATTTTTTTTTTTTTAATGTTGTACATAAAGTATTGAAAAATCTATTGTATATTGATTGATTACTTAATTTTAAATGTAAAATTAAGATTGTTTTTGTTTTTGGTAATTAAAAACTTTTTATTTAGAACACCAGAAAGATGCCAATGGCCCCTGAACCACTCCTTCAAAAGACCAAAAAGTGGAGAGTTATTGAATATTAAATGATGGATTCTTCCTTTTTATCTTCAATTTCAACAAGCTGCCGTATTTGTACAGCGGGGCTTCATTTACATGATGTATTCGAATATCCTTCACGTGAACTCTATGGACTACTTCAATCAACTTTTTTTTTAAAGAATAAACATTGGTGTACAATCTAATTTCACAATCCTGATAACTCGTATTATTGGGTATGTGAGATTCATAGTGAGTAAACGAGACCTATTTATGAGCTGCTGCGTCGGACTTATGAGAAAAATTTGTGAGATTGGGTATATGATTTTTTTTTTTATATATATATATAATGAGAGTGTTTGTGATGTAATAATAATATTTGTTTAAATAAACATAAGTAAAATATTAACAAAAGAGATTTTTAAAATAGTTCAAATGATGTAAATAAGGGGGTGTTTGTCTAAGCTTATAAGCTGGTCAAACTTGCTTATAAGCTCTAAAATTAAGCTGACCTGTTTGTTTATAATTTTTTTGAGCTTAGAAGTTGAGCTTATAAGCCAAAAAAATAAGTTGGGGGGAGATACTTTTTTTTTTTTTGGCTTATAAGCACTCTGCTTATAAGCTAGTTTGACTAAGTATATTACCACATTATCCTTGTTTAATTTTAAAATTCTATAGTATACCCTTGTTTAATGTAGTACCTTTTTTAGTCATTTTATAATAAAACATACTTATAAGCCACATTTTACTAAACACGTCAACTACTTATCAGTCACTTATAAGTACTTTAATCAAACACGTAATTGCTTAAAATTTCAAATGCTTATAAGCTAAACTCTTTCTAACCGTCGAATATAAATACTTGTTGCTTATAAGTTAATTTTCATAAGCTCAGACAAACACCCCCTAAGCCTTACGTTCATTATTATTTTATTATTCGTTTTTATTATATTTTTTTATATAACTTGTAAGACATACAAAGATTAGATGGAATAATACTTTGTTTACGTGTAGAAAAATAATGGCTCAAACATCGAATGTATACCCAACTTTTATCTGTCCATACCCCCTTCAGTGTGGATCAATGGTCAGTTTATACTTTATATAGTGCTGCTCTTTTAATTAAATGATTATCTGCTTGCTGGCTTGAAGAAATTGCAATGTGTAGCAATTGTTTCTTCCTCAAATTCTGATGGCTTCTCGGGGTTAAACCATTTTTTTAAATTTTCACTAGAGAAAGAGAAAAAGAAACTTAGAGCATTTCCAAATGAGTTTTTATATGACCCAAACTCTTTATTATAAAGAGTATATCTATAAAAATAAGAGTCCAACAGATTCTTTATCTTTAAAATATAAATTAGGGAGTGAGTTTGACTCTTCACGTTTAGAGAGTTAAATTTCACTCTCTATCCTAATTTTAATTAATAAATTACAAGTTTCTATACATTTTATTTATTAATTATCTCTTCTATTGTCTCTTTCTTAAAAATAAAGAGCATCTTCATTAAATTTAAAAAGTTTATTGAATTTGAATAAAAATTGTATTCTTTATTTATATCAAAAATACTCTTAAAAATAAAAAGCACTATTAAAAATACACTTATATGCTATAATCTCACCATCTCACTTTGTTGACGTGGTTAGATTGTTTAATGACTTAATGGTAAATATCGTCACATATTTACAAAATTTTCTCTTTCATTCGG